ATGGCATCGCCACTGACCCAGATAAAATTGCAGCTGTTAAAGAATGGAAACAACCAACAACTACGGTAGAGGTCAGATCATTCTTGGGTTTTGCCTCCTATTATAGAAAATTTGTACCTGGTTTTGCAAAAATTGCCGCACCATTGCATGACTTGGTAAACAAAATGACAAAGAAACACAGTAAGGAGAAAAAGAAAGGTAAAACACACCGGATAGGTGAATTATGGACTGATGAATGCCTGAACTCGTTTAAGCTCTTGAAAAAGGCTTTGACAGAGGCGCCGATATTGGGATACGCAGACTTTGACAAGCCATTTCGGCTAGAAATTGACGCCAGCTCTAAAGGTCTGGGAGCTGTGCTATCACAACAACAAAAGCAAGGCTTCAGGGTTATTGCTTATGCCAGTCGAGCTCTGAAGGAATCAGAGAAGAACATGACAAATTACAGTGCCATGAAACTAGAACTTTTGACATTAAAATGGGCTGTGACGGAAAAATTCAGGGACTATTTATTAGGTGCTAAATGTGTGGTATACACTGACAATAACCCCTTGAGTCACCTAAAGACAGCAAAGTTGGGATCCATCGAACAGCGATGGGCAGCAGAATTGGCACTCTTTGACCTAGAGATAAAATATCGCCCGGGGCGGTCCAATGGCAATGCGGACGCCTTATCAAGGAATCCTTACGAGAGACCGGGCGATGAGGAAGAAACGCTGACAGGAATATGTGAGGTCAGAGCGTCAACAGATATCCCTCACGGGGTGCAAGTGAGGCAGAACGGACAGACCGGGGTGGAGCACATTTCCACAGAGCCCGGACATATGGACATTGGTGATGTTAATTGCCTTAATCACAAAAAGATAAGAGATGCCCAGAGAACGGATAGTGGCTTACAACCGCTATTGAAATACGTCCAGGAACAAAAATTCCCAGGAAGAAGGGAAAGAGAACAATTTGGTCGAGAAACAAAGAAAATACTGAGTCAGTGGGACCGTCTCAGTATAGAGGATGGTGTTCTCATGCGGAGAATTCATGACCAAATTGATGGGACAATACACCAGGTGGTGGTGCCTGGACAGTTACGAGAAGAAGTGCTAAGGTTGGCACATGACAGGGCAGGACACCAGGGTCAGGATAGGACCCACAAAATATTACGACGGAGGTGTTACTGGCCCAATATGGAAATGGAGGTCAAACGCCATTGTGAGGCTTGTGTGAGGTGTCAGCATGCGAAAATGCCAGTTGTCAAAATGAGACAGCCATCAGGACACCTACTAGCGACAAAACCACTAGAGATTGTGGCTATGGACTTTACGTCGTTGGAGCAATCATCGGATGGGACGGAACATGTGTTGGTAATGACTGATGTATTCACCAAATGGACTGTGGCGGTGCCCACACGAGATCAGACTGCCAAAACAGTGGCAAAGGTATTAATAGAACATTGGTTCATCAAATATGGCATACCAAGACAATTACACTCTGACCAAGGAAGGGCCTTCGAGTCAGAAGTAATCAACCAACTGTGCAGCCACTACGGGATCAACAAATCTAGAACAACCACATTTAATCCGAAAGGAAACGGACAGTGCGAACGGTTCAACCGCAGCATGCATGATTTGCTGCGTACACTAGAACCTGAACAGAAAAAACGTTGGCCTGATTTTCTCCCAGAGTTGGTATATCTATACAACTGCACACCCCATGCCACAACCGGCTTTTCGCCACACATGTTGCTGTTCGGACGAGAGGCTCGACTCCCTCTTGATTTGTTCCTAGGAAAAAGAGAGAGTATGACTGGCTCATACACCGCACTGGAATATGTGAATGAACATATGAGAAGAATTAGAGAAATGTACAGGGTAGTACAGGAAAGACTAGAACATGAATCTCGGCGAAGGGAACCGCCGATACAGACGAAGGACCCGCCACTCAAACTGAACGACAGGGTATTACTGCGTAGCCACCCGTTAGGCAGAAACAAAATCCACGATCTCTGGGGACAGGAGATATGGCAAGTCGTGGAGATGCCTAAAGCAGCAGGTGGCCCCTTTAAGATAAGACCCATCGATCACGCCAAACCGGATCGGTGGGCGAATATTGCTCAATTAAAGAAATATTGGAATAGGCAAGAAGAGCAGTTACACACAGAGAAACCCAAGACAATTAGGGAACCGGAAGTTATAACGGAAATTCACATACCCATTCCGGAACCATATCACCATCAACAGAACAACAGCGATACGCAAGGGGAGGATACCGGCAACAATGAGGATCCCGGTCCTTCCAGAAGCAGAGAGACAGTAGACCATCAGATAAGTGGTCCGCGGAGAAGTTTGAGGAACAGAAGGAAGACGAAATTTTTTGTCAGCAACCATCAATTCTTTCATGGTCGCGCTGGTATGAAAACAGACTGTTCAAAGAGCTATAGAAGTGAACTGGTGAAGGCACCAAATGGAAAGGGTGGATGTGAATTCTAGAACTGTTTTGTGTCTCAGGAAGATGATGTAGACACAGTTGATATGTGAAATAGGTATAACTGTCAATCGTATACGAATGGAACGTCGTGGACAGTGAGTGGAACAATAAATTTTTTTTTACGACTGTGCGATTGACTTTGGAGGAGTGCACCTGCCAGGCGTTGTTTGTGGTTGAAAACACACAAAAAAAGCAGGGGTGGATGTAACTAGGGTAGGCCTAGCTACCAGTTACAAATCTGATAACGAACGAGAAGCCGAGACGCAGTTTCAGTCTGATGCAACCGATAACAGGTGGCTTATTGGATCGGACTGATAACAAGCTCAAAGCCAACGCGTGCTATTTTGGGAAACGGTACAGGGGGATTCAGACGGCCTGTCAACTTTGATTGATAGGATGCAGATGTTTTATTAGTCGGACTGTACGTAGAACTGCGCAACTAGTAGTCGGAGACATCGATTACAAATATCGATTACGGAGGGATACGAGTACGGATACAAGGGATAAATAGGGGGGGACGGCGGAGCTCGCCCCTTCTCTCTTTCGATCGCTCGCTTAGATCAGTCAGTCTGTGTGACAGTTGGTTATAGAACGGATTAGTTGGATTGTGTTAAGAAGGACTATAGACATGTGGATTCAGTTATATGAAGCCTAGTGAGGACTGTTAGGGAGTCAGTTGATTCAGACTATTATTATGAAACATCCCTGTTGATTCATTGTGTTATATTGAAACATTTCTTGATTCATGTAATAAAAGGATCAATAGCGAACCTGCATCTTCGAGTCTTTCTACTGTAGTCGATGTTGTGTAGCATGAGTGGTTCAACTCGTTACAATTGGCGTTGTCGGGCAGGATAGACTCGGGGAAGGTTACAAGTGGCGTTGCGAGCAGGGTAACTGTTCGCTCGTTACATATATATATATATATATATATATATATATATATATATATATATATATATATATATACACACAAATATTTGTTTATATATGCTTAGACGTCTTAGAGAGATGGAGAAAGGTGCTAGGAATGTTTATTCATTTCAATTTCAGGTATGTATATTTTAGTACATTAAAAATAACTACTTTAGAGTTTATACGAATACTATAAAACATCTTGTTGTTTCCCGTAGATGATTACACATACCGGAGTATGTATAGATTACCTCTGCTCAGAATCCCCTGCCTCTCCTTTCCATCTTACCAACCCCTACCCCATCTTTCCATCTTAAGAATCTCCACCCACCTACCCTCCCGCGTCGTGTGATATGAAATGTATATCCCCCTTCCCACTCCTAAAAATGCTGATAATGCATGTGTACGGTATTACTAACAGAACCATTCGAAGTGGTTTTTTTTTCTCATTTCTTTATTTGAATTCGCTTCCTCGATGCATTTTCTGTAATTTTCTGTTATTACAAACGAGTTCTAATTATGTATCATTTTTCAAGCTTGGGTTTCTAAGCATGCAAATAACAGACACTCGCGCAGGGTGAGACGAAAAATTGTTAAACTGGATCAAAGTTGTTGTTGTAAGGCGTCGTCTTCCCGTAGCAGTGGCCTTGACCTCGTGACCCTGCGCCTAACGCGCATATCTGCAACTGTCTGGTACCGTGTGACCCGGGCCAGGGCTTCTCGAGTTGTTACCTCAGGAATATGTAGCTGACCCCTGGGTAAGAGAAAGTCATTCTCAAATGTTTGACACACAATTTTTGCGACCCCTAGGCTTAGCCTCAAGGGGAGGGGGGGGGGGGGTATTCGAAACTTTTCGGAGGGCACTCAAATTAATGTATATATTTTCTGTATAAATTATATATTTGTTCCCGATTCGTCCAGAGGGAAGGAGAGGGGGGGGGGGGATGTACGTCCTCGAGTGTAGTGGGGGGGGGGGGAACTGCCCTAAGAGATGCCTGAAAGAAAGAAACTCTGGACAGATCGTGGTGTATGGACATTAACTTCATTCAAGAAATGTGAAACAATCCTTGAAACATGGATTGGAAATACAATCTTTACACCGGCCTGCAAGAAAACTGGAAAGGAATAAATAGGCCTGCTATGCTAATACCAATGTTCTTGGAAGAGTTTCTTCCAGACATCTATTCGGGGGGGGGGGGGAACAGCCTCCCCCTCCCCCCCCCCCCCCCCCCCCCCACGAGGTAAGTCTACCGCTCTTTCCCACCCTCCTCCCACAACGAAAAGGAATTTATATAGAAAAAAATATTTTAATTGTGTCCTTCCGTTCCCCCCCCCCCCCCAAAAAAAATTCTAGTGCCCCCCGCCCACCCGACCCCGGAGAAAAAAGTCTGGGAGAAACACAAGTTCTTGACGTGGCTTCTGTACACTAAGTACGTGTAAGTTCGTGTTTATGTCTAGTCAAGTCAAGAATTTAACAGGGTGTTGACACCAAATCGTCTGCCGACCGTCAGCCGCGACACCAGGCCGTGCTTCCATTTGTTATGGTTTTGTTTTGAAGAGCCCCCGCCAAAATGTTTCACGTTCGCCTGCCTCTCGTCTGCGTCTCGCTGGGCCGTGACGAGGCACCGACTGGGTCTACACGCGTCACTCGGTAGCTCTTGTTTGGGGGCGCGAATCTGGGAGGCTGTCGATTGCTGCTTGGTGTGCATTTCTGTGTGAAATTTCACGTGAGTTGTTGTTTTATTATTATTTACTTCTCATCTTAACTTGAAAACCTCTATACTGTGCTAAATTGTTTGGAAAGTTTACTTGGTAAGTCTATCATTTCTAACTGCAGAAAAGCGTTTGTTGCGTCATTTCGGACAAATATTAAACAATTTGAATAGGCCTAGGTAACTTAAATAGGTATATTACATTTATTATTTATATTTTCGTTTTCTTTAGATTTTTGTTTTACATACACAAATTAGAATTTGTTATAATTTAGGTTAATGCATTTCTTTTTTAAGAATTAAATCGTCTTATGCCTCACATATTTGTCACGATTGAATACTTTTAACTGCGAATACGTTTGTCGTCGATTCACTCAACTGTTATCGCTTTATACACGGCGTTTCGCTCATTCTTTATTGGAGTTTGTATTGCTGAATGCCTTTGGGGTCATCCATTTATGACGTCCACAAAAATTTGGCATTTTAGAATTTCCCCCCCCCCACACCCCATTGTGGGCGTCCAAAAAATTTTAGTAGACCTCTCAATACATTCTGCAAAATTACTAATTCATTTACATTAACTAATAATGTAATATAGGGATTTGATATTTTCTATTACTGGGCCTAAATAATAATTGGGAGTTAAACTTTTACAAGATATCCGTAAGTCTACGGCGTGTTAACTTAGCGTGTGAATGTGCTAAGACTATTTAAAACTGTTCTTTATTTTAAAAAGTGATTGCAAATGGACGCTGTGTACCCTGCCTCTCGATCTTAAAGGCTTTTTTTTTTACCTACAATTTGTTATAAAGAGTCAGAGATTGCAGGCATTCATGCATCTTTTTTTTTACACGAACCCATCTCCCCAGTCCACACAAGTCGAATTTTGTCGGACCCCCCCCCCCCTAAGTGGGGGTCGCCTATTATAAGAATTGCAGGTGGGGGTCTTCAATAAATGTGGAATGACAGACATAATATAAAAAAGCAACGTATTTTATAGGCAAGGTGGGGTGTTATAATATGCTACACCACCTGCAGTAGTTATAATATGCTACCTCACCTGCAGTAGTTATAATATGCTACCCCATCTGCAGTAATTATAATATGCTACCCCATCTGCAGTAATTATAATATGCTACCCCACCTACAGTAGTTTAAATATTCTATATACCTGCAGTTGTTATAATATACTACCTCACCTGCACTTTTTATAATATGCTACCTCACCTGCAGTTAATATAATATACTACCTCACCTGCACTTGTTATAATATGCTACCTCACCTGTTCTTACTATGCAGGCGACCCCCACTCCCTGCAGTTATTGCTTCCACAGAAAAGGTGGCAGATAGGCTCAGGTATTTTAGTACGTCGATGCTAGTCTAGATAACTAGATTGATGTCGATATTAGTTTTCAAAACATTCCCTCCCCTTATCCATTAAAAACTAGCATTGTTAACGTATCCTATTTTTCCCGCCAATTTTCTAAACCTGTCTAGATCAACATCGAGTGGGCGTGATAGGGTGGGGTGGTGTGTGGTTGTAGGTGTGATGGGGTGGGGTGGTGTGTGGTTGTAGGTGTGATGGGGTGGGGTGGTGTGTGGTTGTAGGTGTGATGGGGTGGGGTGGTGTGTGGTTGTAGGTGTGATGGGGTGGGGTGGTGTGTGGTTGTAGGTGTGATGGGGTGGGGTGGTGTGTGGTTGTAGGTGTGATGGGGTGGGGTGGTGTGTGGTTGTAGGCGTGATGGGGTGGGGTGGTGTGTGGTTGTAGGTGTGATGGGGTGGGGTGGTGTGTGGTTGTAGGTGTGATGGGGTGGTGTGGTGTGTGGTTGTAGGTGGGTGTGGTATGAAGGTCACGAGTCTGCAGCAAACAGCTTTACCTACTGCAAGGTGTCATTGTTTGTCTTGATCCACTTGTAACATCTCAGCTATTTTAAAACCACGACATTGTACAGTTGTTCTTAAATCTTGCAACGTGTACTCATGGTCAATCTTTGCATTGTGTAAACGGTTGATGGGTTGGCAAGATACCCAACAGACTTTACGTTCCCTAACACGAGTCAGGTACCCATCAGATCTGAGTGGGCTCAAGGACGTCCTAGGATTCAAACCAGAGATTCGAGTTCGAGACTTTCGGGTTAGCAGTTGTGCACTCTACCGCATGACTACGTCGTCCCTATTATACAATAACAATTTATATGCGGCGGTTAAAAATCTTTCATCCAGTACACTTGGTCATTTATGTATTAGTAACATCTTTGTATGGTAATCAGAGGCGTATGCAGATTTTCGGGTTTGGGGAAGCGGCGCCATATATATATATATATATATATATATATATATATATATATATATATATATATATATATATATATATATATATATATATATATATATATATATATATATATATATACTAGCGCTGTACGTCATTGCTTCGCTGCGGTGTAAACCAAATTCAAAAGTACTCTTTAATGAAGAAAAAAAAAACACAATGTATGTCTGAAACACAAAACAAAATACAACACAAAATATACACACAGCACAACTAAACAAGAAGCGTTGCACTTCTTCTGTAATCCTTGTAAAAAATAATTTGACACAATAGCAAATGGAATATTACGATAAGCGAACTACAGTAGGGGAAATAGTCACTCTATATATAAATATGCATAGGCATACATGTTTAATTGTCATTTTCAAAATCAATGAGATCAATATTCTTTTCTTTAAATTTAATATAATAATTTATTACAATGCGTTTTACCAATAACTGTCTACTATCAAAATTAAATGTTTTTTCATCATGAATGCTAAAATGTCAACGCCAAGAAGCATCCACATTAAAAATGTGATATTTAGGCTACGTAACAAGACTGATTTTAAACTAGTTTCTGTATTGTTTGTCTTTTTACAAGCTTTTATTTAACTCACTTCCTCTGTCGTCAGTCGTCAGTCTAGACGGAAACGCAGGAGTGAAAATTCGGACAGTTCTACTTGACCGACACGATTCACAGTTGGCACGTGGGTCAAGACATGAAGACAATGCAATCTGAATCTAAATTTGACTTAATTGGATGCTTAATTAATTTTTTATGAATTAATTAAAATTTGGACCGAATTAGTAGGCATGTCTAGCCAACCACACCACACGCGTCATCACCTTCAATAGCTGCGCCATCACGTAATGGCTGCGTTCAAAAACCATTGCGCGCCTACTGAACGTGATGTTCAGTAGGCGCGCAATGGTTTTTAGTCATGTAACTCTATTGTAAATAAAACATGTAAAGTACTGAAAAAAAAATTCATAAAAAACGTTTTAATAACAAGCTTTTATGTAATGATGCACTAAAAAGTAGAAAATAAATTATAGACTACTATTTAAATAACTATAAAGAAAAGCGTGGGTGTCTTCCTTAACATTAGTAAAGGTATCCAATAGATACTAAAGTGACCCACGCTTTTCTTTATAGTTATTTAAATAGTAGTCTATAATTTATTTTCTACTTTTTAGTGCATCATTACATAAAAGCTTGTTATTAAAACGTTTTTTATGAATTTTTTTTATTACAAGCTTTTATTTAACTCACTTCCTCTGTCTGTCGTAAGTCGCCAGTCGTCAGTCTAGATAGAAACGCTGGAATGAAAATTCGGACAGTTCTACTTGACCGATACGATTCACATTTGACACGTGGGTCAAGACATGAAGACAATGCAATCTGAAACTAAATTTGACTTAATTGGATGCCTAATTAATTTTTTATGAATTAATAAAAATTTGGACCGAATTAGTAGGCATGTCTAGCCAACCACACCACACGCGTCATCACCTTCAATAGCTGCGCCATCACGTAATGGCTGCGTTCAAAAACCATTGCGCGCCTACTGAACGTGATGTTCAGTAGGCGCGCAATGGTTTTTAGTCATGTAACTCTATCCTAATATATAAATCCCCACGTTCGCACATCTCTCTCTCTCTCTCTCTCTCTCTCTCTCTCTCTCTCTCTCTCTCTCTCTCTCTCTCTCTCTCTCTGTCTGTCCGCAAAATATTTTCGCCGGACATCACGTCAGAATCGGCAGCGATACATGAAGAACTTTTTACGGACTTTTGTTGAAAATAATATGTTAGAAGTTTTAAATGTATAACCACAATTTTAGTTAAAGAAGAAAAATAAAAATTAAAGGCGTATTCGAATGTAGAGAAACAGTATTATTTATGCAACCGGAAAAGCATTAATATATGTGAAAAAGAACGCATAAAACTGTGACGTCACTATTGCTTATACATTAACTAATGACGTCATCTGCCGTGTTTAGAATGAAAAGAAATGAACTATTTCATTCAAATTTGATTTAGATCTACGTACACTATGAAATGTATACAATACAATTTTTCCGGCCTAAACTCATAAAATTTATTTTATGTATTTGGATTCTAGATCTAGAGATTCTAGATCTAGACTAAATCTAAATCTAAATCTACGCAATAACTAGATCTAGACGTAGACGCTAAGATCTAGATTTAGACTCTAACTTCTCTAAAATCAATTCCAAAAATAAATTTCTATATTAGGACTAAACTATTTCAAGACTTATTTATTTTATACAAAATCTTTGTTTGGAACTGGCTAATTTGGGATAAAAAAATTAATTTGAAAGAATAGGCATATTCGCGTAAGTTAAGATTTTAAAATACGTGTTTCATTCTCCGTATTTTATAATGCAGAGATGTTAGTGTACATTAAACCACGCAGGTGGTGCGGGTTCGAGACACAGCAAGTCAACTTGGTTAATGTACTCTTTTTTATTATGCTCGGGCTAAACTTTAAAAAAAAATTCTTTTAGGAATCTAGATCTAGATCTAGATTGTCGGGTGTCCGATAGGGCACTTCCCGGCGCCGCAGGCGCTTCAAATTTGGCATGATCTTGCCTTGGTGCGACAGAACACGGGGGCCGGTTGGCCGAAAAGTCTACGATGTGGGGGTCAAAACTGACCTCGACTGACCGGTACCTTATATGAGCTATAAATCGAAAAAAAATGTCCACGGAGGAACCTCTTCATAACTCTTGAGGTCGTAGACCGACCTTCGGGCGAATTAATTAAGCATTCAAATTCTCAATGTTTTCGAAAGCCTAAGCGAAGCTGGGCAGCATGCCTAGTTGTAAATAAAACATGTAAAGTACTGAAAATTTTTTTCATAAAAAACGTTTTAATAACAAGCTTTTATGTTATGATGCACTAAAAAGTAGAAAATAAATTATAGACTACTATTTAAATAACTATAAAGAAAAGCGTGGGTGTCTTCCTTAACATTAGTAAAGGTATCCAATAGATACTAAAGTGACCCACGCTTTTCTTTATAGTTATTTAAATAGTAGTCTATAATTTATTTTCTACTTTTTAGTGCATCATAACATAAAAGCTTGTTATTAAAACGTTTTTTATGAAAAAATTTTCTTATTGCCACACTTATTTTAAGTTTAATAAATGTATTTGATTAATCTTCGAAAAAAGCGCCACTATCCTTAAAATGGTCGTAGGGGCGGCCGCTCCCCCTGCTACCCCCTGCGTACGCTACTGATGGCGCTACCCCCTGCGTACGCTACTGATGGCGCTACCCCCTGCGTACGCTACTGATGGCGCTACCCCCTGCGTACGCTACTGATGGCGCTACCCCCTGCGTACGCTACTGATGGCGCTACCCCCTGCGTACGCTACTGATGGCGCTACCCCCTGCGTACGCTACTGATGGCGCTACCCCCTGCGTACGCTACTGATGGCGCTACCCCCTGCGTACGCTACTGATGGCGCTACCCCCTGCGTACGCTACTGATGGTAACATCTTAAACGTGTTAAAGACAGTAGTGTGTAACGGTCCGAGATGTTGCTGTGTAGTGTTCCTGCTATAAACGGGATATCACACTGTACTAACAAACAATTTACAAAACAAAAGTTTAGCCCCAAACATAAAGTCTCATAGCTAAAGTAAAACCCAATAACTAAATTTTGAAATGAGGAAATTACCTCTACAACTTGTAATTGATTGACAATTAATTAATAATATTTCCTATCGATCTTGCATAAAACTGCCATTTTCGTTTCGTGTTATCTAATTCAATAACTTAAAACAAGTACCAATGTTTAAAATTCATGTTTTCGTGTAAAATCCTATTCAATACTATCCCGTTATAATATGAAAGGTAATAAAACTAATAGTATGCCCTAAATCGTCAATATATTCTGAACTATTTTTTTCCCACAGACCATCTATTTAATATGCTGATGTGAATGACACTCGCTATACATCTTATCATACATGAACACTTTCATTGGGTAGGACAATATTTTTTACGAGGTACAACGGGCGTTGGTTTGATAGTGTTGTCTTTTTCTCTAAACCGAAACCAAAATCACCACCTCTACTTCAAATTTAATGTCAAAAATAGATCTAGATAACTCAAAGGTACAACGGAAAAGTTAAGATAAAAATAAAATTCGGTGAGAAAAATCTCTAACAGGCAGAAAAATCTACTATTTGTGTCGTCCTTATGTAGCAAGTGCTGTTTGTTTTCCCACACAAAATTATTAAACTGATTTGTCGCTGTTTTTTTTCTGGTTACTTCCCCCCTTTTTTGTGTTCAATCAATACACAGAATGTCCAATTTTTGCAACGTCTTTGTTTGAATGCCTGTCAGTAGTGTTTGCATTCTTCTTTGTCTTGGAGATGTAATGGGTGGTCTTATGAGAGGTTGGGTGTTGGTGTAGATGTTGATGTAATGGGTGTTGGTGTAGGTGTAATGGGTGTTGGTGTAGATGTTGATGTAATGGGAGTTGGTGTAGATGTTGATGTAATGGGTGTTGGTGTAGGTGTAATGGGTGTTGGTGTAGATGTTGATGTAATGGGAGTTGGTGTAGATGTTGATGTAATGGGTGTTGGTGTAGGTGTAATGGGTGTTGGTGTAGATGTTGATGTAATGGGTGTTGGTGTAGATGTTGATGTAATGGGTGTTGGTGTAGGTGGTGTAATGGGTGTTGGTGTAGATGTTGATGTAATGGGTGTTGGTGTAGGTGTAATGGGTGTTGGTGTAGGTGTAGGTGTAATGGGTGTTGGTGTAGATGTTGATGTAATGGATGTTGGTGTAGATGTAATGGGTGTTGGTGTAGGTGTTGATGTAATGGGTGTTGGTGTAGATGTAATGGGTGTTGGTGTAGGTGGTGTAATGGGTGTTGGTGTAGGTGTAATGGGTGTTGGTGTTGGTGTAGGTGTAATGGGTGTTGGTGTAGGAGGTGTAATGGGTGTTGGTGTAGGTGTAATGGGTGTTGGTGTTGGTGTAGGTGTAATGGGTGTTGGTGTAGGAGGTGTAATGGGTGTTGGTGTAGGAGGTGTAATGGGTGTTGGTGTAGGAGGTGTAATGGGTGTTGGTGTAGATGTACTGTAATGGGTGTTGGTGTAGGTGTGATGGGTGTTGGTGTAGGAAGTGTAATGGGTGTTGGCGTAGGTGTAATGGGTGTTGCTGTAGGTGTAATGGGTGTTGGTGTAGGAGGTGTGATGGGTGTTTTTGTAGGAGGTGTAATGGGTGTAGGTGTAGGTGTAATGGGTGTTGGTGTTGGAGGTGTAATGATTGATGATGTAGGAAAAGTAATGGATGTTGTTGCGTATGTGTATTAGGTGTGAATGATGTTATAGGTGTAATCGATTGAGTTTTGAGGTGTAATTGGTAGACACAGTATGTGCAAGCGTCATGTAAGCATTACACTTACAGATTAAGTTAGGTGACACGGGTGTATGTAGGCTATCTATAGCGAGAGGGGAGACATAGCTGTGAAATTCTAGAACTAAGCCGACCACCACAAAGCCCAAATAAATACCTCACAATGCTTACAGCGCCTACATCTCGAAAACAACATCCACTCGAACCCTATCCCCCCATTGTGCTTCGAATACCACGCTAATCTATTCTTTCAAAGTTTTATTTTTAATTAAAATTTTCAAATATCAAGGCCAAAAAGCTTAATGCTAACGACATCGTAAGCCTTGCTAATGCACAAGTGTCTGAAAAAAATTGTTCGAAATACAAGAACTAATAATTTAAAAAGTGAACAAACGTGTATGGACAGGGTTGTATGCTTGTGCAGACAGTAAACAAAGATTGCAAGCGGGTTGATCAACAACCTGGGTTGCACATTGTACAGTTTACGATGCGTGAATGTGAAGAGGAAAATGAAGCTATGAGTATGAAGCTTCACTACGTTCTAGACATGTTTTAATACAAGTTTTGACGACGTTTTGTTACAACATAAAGGTCAATGTTTGTTGCTTTAAATTTTCCCAAACAACATAACAAATGTTATTTAGACCTAACCCTACTTCACTGGTCTACATATATTAGTTTTTGTCTGTTTAGACCTAACCCTACCTCACTGGGATATTTATCTTAGTTTTTGTCTGTTTAGACCTAAAATTGCCTCACTGGTCTACATATATTAGTTTTTGTCTGTTTATTTAGACCTAAACCTACCTGACTGGGCTATATATCTTAGTTTGTGTCTGTTTGTTTAGACCTAAACCTACCTCACTGGTCTATATATCTAAGTTTTTGTCTGTTTATTTATTTAGGCATTATTCTACCACAATGAGCTACATATCTTATATTTATGTCTGTTTTTTTCAGAAGACAGACAGAGCTAGCAGGTAACCCCAGGTAAGTGTTGCCTCACCTGTGCCTATATCCCTGTAGGTAATCCTGCCTTCAATTACCATTAACACACAAAGTTTTTAAACTTCGCCCCTTGATTTGACAGCCTTCAGTTTCCTTGTATGTTTTTTACATGGATTACAAAACAGATTGCGTTACGTTCATTGTTTGTGGTTGTATTGTGTGCATATTTTGTTTGTTTTTTTGTTTAAAGTGATAAATTGTTTTGTTTTGTCGACCTACTTCGTGTGCTTTTTCTTATTTCTTCAGAGTACTACTTTCAATTTATTTTATATTATAGCGAAGCAATGACATACAGCTAGTATATATATATATATATATATATATATATATATATATATATATATATATATATATATATATATATATATATATATATGAAAAAATTGGAACCCTCCCCATGAGACGATCCTGGCTACGCCACTGGTTAAAGTACTAATTCTAAAAGGACCAACTTGCACAATATATGTGGGCACTGTTAAAGTACTGATTCTAGTGACCTACGGCACACTTTCTTGGGACAAAGTTTATCCTTTCAACCCGACCTGTTGTTGCAGAACTGGGTCATGTTTATCCGCATGCACCCCTTTGACTTAGATTAAATTATCTAGAACGGAAGTATCAGGTTTTACTTTGGATCATAAACAGCAATGTCAAGTGACTATGTTTATGCCATAGATCTTCATTAGATCTAAATAAGACAAGGAACTTTAATTAAGATTGTTCTCTAGGAAGTTGACACTTAAGTGCAGACTCTAATTTAAGATGAATTATCGCCGCCATTTGTAAAAACTAAAACAAATTGTGGTCTGTGAAAAATGAGTTATAAATATAAAGCAAACAAGCAGAAACATAAATAACTTGTCAGCTTTTTTTTTTCCTCGTGGCAAGAAAACAGGTAGATCCGGTAGATAATTTTATTCAGCGTTAAGGAAATGCTTGATTAATTATGCATACGTGGGATAATGTGTTTATTTAGATTTCCCCCTAAAGTTTGATTATTGGAGTTATCCACAGAAATTTAGAGGGGATTTTAGAGAGAGCACGTGTAGACAGGCTCTTGCGACCCTATGACGCTAGCAAATCTGCGATGTATTTATAGAATTGTATGGAGGTATAGAGATGATGTCTGACGGTTCTAGACTATAGTAAGGATTTAGAGATTATGACGAGAGCCGAAATGTACGACTGGACAAAAACTATATTTAAAATTATCTCTGCTTCACCCAAAAACAGATAATGTCATAGCCACATGTCCACTTTAAACCCCGTGCCCTATGCAGTCCCTTGTGAAGAAAACATCCGTTGTATAGGCCTACCCCGTGATTTCTCTCCGTCCAGCGTGTTTAAAAGTGTGAGTATCGCACCTTCTGCCAGGCGAGCAGGCACCATCCATCAGGCCGTGTCAGGCACGCGATTTCTCACGTGATCTCCTTCAATCACACGAGATTTCTGATCTCTGGCACCAGAAGGTGTGTCACCAGATACAAGACGTATCATTAGATGTTAGATGTGTCACCAACTAAAAGACGTGTCACTAGGCGTTAGATGTGTCACCAACTAAAAGACGTGTCACTAGGCGTTAGATGTTTCACCAGATATAAGACATGTCACTAGATGTTAGATGTGTCACCAACTAAAAGACGTGTCACTAGGCGTTAGATGTGTCACCAACTAAAAGACGTATCACTAGATGTTAGATGTGTCACCAACTAAAAGACGTGTCACTAGATGTTAGATGTGTCACCAACTAAAAGACGTATCACTAGATGTTAGATGTGTCACCAACTAAAAGACGTGTCACTAGGCGTTAGATGTGTCACCAACTAAAAGACGTGTCACTAGGCGTTAGATGTGTCACCAACTAAAAGACGTGTCACTAGATGTTAGATGTGTCACCAACTAAAAGACGTGTCACTAGGCGTTAGATGTGTCACCAACTAAAAGACGTGTCACTAGGCGTTAGATGTGTCACCAACTAAAAGACGTGTCACTAGGCGTTAGATGTGTCACCAACTTAAAAGACGTGTCACTAGGCGTTAGATGTGTCACCAACTAAAAGACGTGTCACTAGATGTTAGATGTGTCACCAACTAAAAGACGTGTCACTAGGCGTTAGATGTGTCACCAACTAAAAGACGTGTCACTAGGCGTTAGATGTGTCACCAACTTAAAAGACGTGTCACTAGGCGTTAGATGTGTCACCAACTAAAAGACGTGTCACTAGATGTTAGATGTGTCACCAACTAAAAGACGTGTCACTAGGCGTTAGATGTGTCACCAACTAAAAGACGTGTCACTAGGCGTTAGATGTGTCACCAACTAAAAGACGTGTCACTAGGCGTTAGATGTGTCACCAACTAAAAGACGTGTCACTAGATGTTAGATGTGTCACCAACTAAAAGACGTGTCACTAGATGTTAGATGTGTCACCAACTAAAAGACCTGTCACTTAGATGTGTCACCAACTAAAAGACGTGTCACTAGATGTTAGATGTGTCACCAACTAAAAGACGTGTCACTAGATGTTAGATGTGTCACCAACTAAAAGACGTGTCACTAGATGTTAGATGTGTCACCATCTAAAGACCTGTCACTAGATGTTAGATGTGTCACCAACTAAAAGACGTGTCACTAGATGTTAGATGTGTCACCAACTAAAAGACGTGTCACTAGATGTTAGATGTGTCACCAACTAAAAGACGTGTCACTAGATGTTAGATGTGTCACCAACTAAAAGACGTGTCACTAGGCGTTAGATGTGTCACCAACTAAAAGACGTATCACTAGATGTTAGATGTGTCACCAACTAAAAGACGTGTCACTAGGCGTTAGATGTGTCACCAACTAAAAGACGTGTCACTAGGCGTTAGATGTGTCACCAACTAAAAGACGTGTCACTAGGCGTTAGATGTGTCACCAACTAAAAGACGTATCACTAGATGTTAGATGTGTCACCAACTAAAAGACGTGTCACTAGGCGTTAGATGTGTCTCCAACTAAAAGACGTGTCACTAGGCGTTAGATGTGTCACCAACTAAAAGACGTGTCACTAGGCGTTAGATGTGTCACCAACTAAAAGACGTGTCACTAGGCGTTAGATGTGTCACCAACTAAAAGACGTGTCACTAGGCGTTAGATGTGTCACCAACTAAAAGACGTGTCACTAGGCGTTAGATGTGTCACCAACTAAAAGACGTGTCACTAGATGTTAGATGTGTCACCAACTAAAAGACGTGTCACTAGGCGTTAGATGTGTCACCAACTAAAAGACGTGTCACTAGGCGTTAGATGTGTCACCAACTTAAAAGACGTGTCACTAGGCGTTAGATGTGTCACCAACTAAAAGACGTGTCACTAGATGTTAGATGTGTCACCAACTAAAAGACGTGTCACTAGGCGTTAGATGTGTCACCAACTAAAAGACGTGTCACTAGGCGTTAGATGTGTCACCAACTAAAAGACGTGTCACTAGGCGTTAGATGTGTCACCAACTAAAAGACGTGTCACTAGATGTTAGATGTGTCACCAACTAAAAGACGTGTCACTAGATGTTAGATGTGTCACCAACTAAAAGACCTGTCACTTAGATGTGTCACCAACTAAAAGACGTGTCACTAGATGTTAGATGTGTCACCAACTAAAAGACGTGTCACTAGATGTTAGATGTGTCACCAACTAAAAGACGTGTCACTAGATGTTAGATGTGTCACCATCTAAAGACCTGTCACTAGATGTTAGATGTGTCACCAACTAAAAGACGTGTCACTAGATGTTAGATGTGTCACCAACTAAAAGACGTGTCACTAGATGTTAGATGTGTCACCAACTAAAAGACGTGTCACTAGATGTTAGATGTGTCACCAACTAAAAGACGTGTCACTAGGCGTTAGATGTGTCACCAACTAAAAGACGTATCACTAGATGTTAGATGTGTCACCAACTAAAAGACGTGTCACTAGGCGTTAGATGTGTCACCAACTAAAAGACGTGTCACTAGGCGTTAGATGTGTCACCAACTAAAAGACGTGTCACTAGGCGTTAGATGTGTCACCAACTAAAAGACGTATCACTAGATGTTAGATGTGTCACCAACTAAAAGACGTGTCACTAGGCGTTAGATGTGTCTCCAACTAAAAGACGTGTCACTAGGCGTTAGATGTGTCACCAACTAAAAGACGTGTCACTAGGCGTTAGATGTGTCACCAACTAAAAGACGTGTCACTAGGCGTTAGATGTGTCACCAACTAAAAGACGTGTCACTAGGCGTTAGATGTGTCACCAACTAAAAGACGTGTCACTAGGCGTTAGATGTGTCACCAACTAAAAGACGTGTCACTAGATGTTAGATGTGTCACCAACTAAAAGACGTGTCACTAGGCGTTAGATGTTTCACCAGATATAAGACATGTCACCAAAGACTTGAGTCTCACCACATGCAAAACGTTTCACCAGATATAAGACATGTCACCAAAGACTTGAGTCTCACCACATGCAAAACGTTTCACCAGATATAAGACATGTCACCAAAGACTTGAGTCTCACCACATGCAAAACGTTTCACCAGATATAAGACATGTCACCAAAGACTTGAGTCTCGCCACATGCAAGACGTTTCACCAGATATAAGACATGTCACCAAAGACTTGAGTCTCACCACATGCAAGACGTTTCACCAGATATAAGACATGTCACCAAAGACTTGAGTCTCACCACATGCAAGACGTTTCACCAGATATAAGACATGTCACCAAAGACTTGAGTCTCACCACATGCAAAACGTTTCACCAGATATAAGACATGTCACCAAAGACTTGAGTCTCACCACATGCAAGACGTTTCACCAGATATAAGACATGTCACCAAAGACTTGAGTCTCACCGCATGCAAGACGTTTCACCAGATACAAGAGGTATCACTAGATGTCGGTATAAGCTCCCTATCTGTTGATGGCTGCCAGATATGCACTAAAGACTGTACTAAACCTCTTCGTTCAAATGAATAAGTACCTTTTCTTTTAATGTCTGAGCTAAGTGCCATGACCTAATCACCCTGTTCAGTTATTGGTAAATGCAGCTTTACTATATTTATTCTTGATTTAGCCGCATTTATTTTTGGCTTAGATCCTATGTTCATACCTCTATCCTTACGTTTTTGTTGGGAAATTTAAATGACAACACCGCGGTTTTATCACTTTAATCATTGAAAACATTCGATCACGTCGCTTCTAACATTGCAAAATCCTGGCTTAAATGCGAGTCCTGGTGTAATTTCTACGTTGGATTGCTGGCTAGGAGACAGTAATCACTTACCGACTGACATTTACCACCGTCTGTTAACGATCACCGAGTGCCAGACGAGTGCCAGATGATGCCTGATTTGACTGACGGCACGAGACATGACGTATGGGGTGTTTAAAAAAATTTCATCGACCCGCGAGAATTACGTCACAGAGAGGACGGTTCTCAAACTCCATCGTTAAACAGACGTGTGGCTTTGCTGTAAACGTCAGTTGGACCAGTGTCATCCCTAGGACAGGCGTCACACGGTGTGATAGTTGGGGGTGTCACCCCAAAGCACTCCAACAATTAACCACTTTCCTTTTGGTGTCACTGTTCGACCCAGATTTGTGGCGCAACTGAGCAGGGCTACATAAGTATATTTTTTTTTAGGATCGTTACCCTAACATAGGATAAAAACCTAGACACTAACATTTTTGACTGGGCTTTATACTGTCCCTTATAAGCCTTGGTAGTGAAAAACCTAAAAAGTGTCTATAAATCACTAGGTATGAAAGTATATTTTGTGGAGATATTACATCAGATTAAAGTTTCTGAAACCGTCCTTTCCTGCCTATGGTAAGATTGTATGCAAGTATTCCACAGTAACCTGACATTAACCTATTCCACAGGTGACCTAACAACCTCTAATTAACCTGACATTAACCTATTCCGCAAGTGACCTAACGACCTCTAATTAACCTGACATTAACCTATTCCGCAAGTGACCTAACGACCTCTAATTAACCTGACATTAACCTATTCCACAGGTGACCTAACGACCTCTAATTAACCTGACATTAACCTATTCCGCAAGTGACCTAACGACCTCTAATTAACCTGACATTAACCTATTCCACAGGTGACCTAACGACCTCTAATTAACCTGACATTAACCTATTCCGCAAGTGACCTAACGACCTCTAATTAACCTGACATTAACCTATTCCACAGGTGACCAAACGACCTCTACCTAACCTGCCACTAACCGTCTCTGAGGTGCCTTCAGCCACGATGAAAGTCCACCAGCCCAGTCTGACGGCTCTCTGCCTAGCCTCTGTTCTCTTGGCTCTCCTGCACAACATCGGCGTGACCCAGGGGGGTTACGAGCACACCTGCAGCTACCACAGCCGCCCCCACAAGCGAGGGCTCTGCGGCAAGCGACTGGCCGACATGGTGGAGTACCTGTGCTACTCGGGCTTTGGGAACTACATGTCGAAAGTCGTGAGGAAGAGGAATGCTGAAATAGGTAGGTAGGGGGTGGGGGACTACTACATGTCGAAAGTCGTGAGGAAGAGGAATGCTGAAATAGGTAGGTAGGGGGGGGGGGGGGTGGGGGGGCTACTACACGTCGAAAGTCGTGAGGAAGAGGAATGCTGAAATAGGTAGGTAGGGGGTGGGGGACTACTACATGTCGAAAGTCGTGAGGAAGAGGAATGCTGAAATAGGTAGGTAGGGGGGGGGTGGGGGGGGCTACTACACGTCGAAAGTCGTGAGGAAGAGGAATGCTGAAATAGGTAGGTAGGGGGTGGGGGACTACTACATGTCGAAAGTCGTGAGGAAGAGGAATGCTGAAATAGGTAGGTAGGGGGGGGGTGGGGGGGCTACTACACGTCGAAAGTCGTGAGGAAGAGGAATGCTGAAATAGGTAGGTAGGGGGGGGTGGGGGGGGGGGGGCTACTACATGTCGAAAGTCGTGAGGAAGAGGAATGCTAAAATAGGTAAGGGGTGGGGGGGGGCTACTTCGTAGGAGGGTGGGGGGGGGGACTACTACATGTCGAAAGTCGTGAGGAAGAGGAATGCTGAAATAGGTAGGGGGTGGGGTGGGGTGGGGGGCTACTACATATCGAAAGTCATGAAGAAGAGGAATGCTGAAATAGGTAAGGGGTGGGGTGGGGACTACTACATAGGAAGGTGGGGTGGGGACTGCTACATAGGAAGGTGGGGGGACTACTACATGTCGAAAGTCGTGAGGAAGAGGAATGCTGAAATAGGTAGGTGGGGGTGGGGGTGGGGGTGGGGGGCTACTACACGTCGAAAGTCGTGAGGAAGAGGAATGCTGAAATAGGTAGGTAGGGGGGGGTGGGGGGGGGGGCTACTACATGTCGAAAGTCGTGAGGAAGAGGAATGCTAAAATAGGTAAGGGGTGGGGGGGGGGGCTACTTCGTAGGAGGGTGGGGGGGGGGACTACTACATGTCGAAAGTCGTGAGGAAGAGGAATGCTGAAATAGGTAGGGGGTGGGGTGGGGTGGGGGGCTACTACATATCGAAAGTCATGAAGAAGAGGAATGCTGAAATAGGTAAGGGGTGGGGTGGGGACTACTACATAGGAAGGTGGGGTGGGGACTGCTACATAGGAAGGTGGGGGGACTACTACATGTCGAAAGTCGTGAGGAAGAGGAATGCTGAAATAGGTAGGTGGGGGTGGGGGTGGGGGTGGGGGGCTACTACATGTCGAAAGTCGTGAGGAAGAGGAATGCTGAAATAGGTAGGTGGGGGGGTGGGGGGGGAACTACTACATGTCGAAAGTCGTGAGGAAGAGGAATGCTGAAATAGGTGGGTAGGGGGTGGGGACTACTACAGAGGGGGGTGGGAGGTGGGGGTGGGGGTGGGGACTACTACATGTTGAAAGTCGTGAGGAAGAGGAATGCTGAAATAGGTAGGTGAGGGTGGGGACTACTACATGTCGAAAGTCGTGAGGAAGAGGAATGCTGAAATAGGTAGGTAGGGGGGGGGGTGGGGGGGCTACTACACGTCGAAAGTCGTGAGGAAGAGGAATGCTGAAATAGGTAGGTAGGGGGTGGGGGACTACTACATGTCGAAAGTCGTGAGGAAGAGGAATGCTGAAATAGGTAGGTAGGGGGGGGGTGGGGGGGCTACTACACGTCGAAAGTCGTGAGGAAGAGGAATGCTGAAATAGGTAGGTAGGGGGGGGGGTGGGGGGGCTACTACACGTCGAAAGTCGTGAGGAAGAGGAATGCTGAAATAGGTAGGTAGGGGGGGGGGTGGGGGGGGGGCTACTACATGTCGAAAGTCGTGAGGAAGAGGAATGCTAAAATAGGTAAGGGGTGGGGGGGGCTACTTCGTAGGAGGGTGGGGGGGGGACTACTACATGTCGAAAGTCGTGAGGAAGAGGAATGCTGAAATAGGTAGGGGGTGGGGTGGGGTGGGGGGCTACTACATATCGAAAGTCATGAAGAAGAGGAATGCTGAAATAGGTAAGGGGTGGGGTGGGGACTACTACATAGGAAGGTGGGGTGGGGACTGCTACATAGGAAGGTGGGGGGACTACTACATGTCGAAAGTCGTGAGGAAGAGGAATGCTGAAATAGGTAGGTGGGGGTGGGGGGGTGGGGGTGGTGGGCTACTACATGTCGAAAGTCGTGAGGAAGAGGAATGCTGAAATAGGTGGGTAGGGGGTGGGGACTACTACAGAGGGGGGTGGGAGGTGGGGGTGGGGGTGGGGACTACTACATGTTGAAAGTCGTGAGGAAGAGGAATGCTGAAATAGGTAGGTGAGGGTGGGGACTACTACATGTCGAAAGTCGTGAGGAAGAGGAACGCTGAAATAGGTAGGTAGGGGGGGTGGGGGGGACTACTACATGTCGAAAGTCGTGAGGAAGAGGAATGCTGAAATAGGTAGGTGAGGGTGGGGACTACTACATGCCGAAAGTCGTGAGGAAGAGGAATGCTGAAATAGGTAGGTAGGGGGGGGGTGGGGGGGGGGGGGGCTACTACATGTCGAAAGTCGTGAGGAAGAGGAATGCTGAAATAGGTAAGGGGTGGGGGGGCTACTACATAGGAGGGTGGGGGGGGGGGGTGGGGACTACTACATGTCGAAAGTCGTGAGGAAGAGGAATGCTGAAATAGGTAGGGGGTGGGGTGGGGTGGGGGGCTACTACATATCGAAAGTCATGAAGAAGAGGAATGCTGAAATAGGTAAGGGGTGGGGTGGGGACTACTACATAGGAAGGTGGGGTGGGGACTGCTACATAGGAAGGTGGGGGGACTACTACATGTCGAAAGTCGTGAGGAAGAGGAATGCTGAAATAGGTAGGTGGGGGTGGGGGGTGGGGGTGGGGGTCTACTACATGTCGAAAGTCGTGAGGAAGAGGAATGCTGAAATAGGTGGGTAGGGGGTGGGGACTACTACAGAGGGGGGTGGGAGGTGGGGGTGGGGGTGGGGACTACTACATGTTGAAAGTCGTGAGGAAGAGGAATGCTGAAATAGGTAGGTGAGGGTGGGGACTACTACATGTCGAAAGTCGTGAGGAAGAGGAATGCTGAAATAGGTAGGTGAGGGTGGGGACTACTACATGTCGAAAGTCGTGAGGAAGAGGAATGCTGAAATAGGTAGGTGAGGGTGGGGACTACTACATGTCGAAAGTCGTGAGGAAGAGGAATGCTGAAATAGGTAGGTAGGGGGTGGGGTGGGGAGGACTACTACATGTCGAAAGTCGTTAGGAAGAGGAACGCTGAAATAGGTAGGTGGGGGGGTGGGGACTACTACATAGGAGGGTGGGGGGTGGGGGGGACTACTACATGTCGAAAGTTGTGAGGAAGAGGAATGCTGAAATAGGTAGGTAGGGGGGTGGGGACTACTACATAGGAGGGTGGGGGGTGGGGTGGGGACTACTACATGTCGAAAGTTGTGAGGAAGAGGAATGCTGAAATAGGTAGGTAGGGGGGTGGGGACTACTACATAGGAGGGTGGGGTGGGGACTACTACATGTCGAAAGTTGTGAGGAAGAGGAACGCTGAAATAGGTAGGTAGGGGGTGGGGACTACTACATAGGAGGGTGGGGGGTGGGGTGGGGAAAACTACATGTCGAAAGTCGTGAGGAAGAGGAACGCTGAAATAGGTAAGGGGTGGGGGGGGGGACTACTACATGTCGAAAGTCGTGAGGAAGAGGAATGCTGAAATAGGTAGGTAGGGGGGTGGGGGGGGGGGGGGGGCTACTACATGTCGAAAGTCGTGAGGAAGAGGAATGCTAAAATAGGTAAGGGGTGGGGGGGGCTACTACATAGGAGGGTGGGGGGGGGGACTACTACATGTCGAAAGTCGTGAGGAAGAGGAATGCTGAAATAGGTAGGTAGGGGGGGGTGGGGGGGGGGGGGCTACTACATGTCGAAAGTCGTGAGGAAGAGGAATGCTGAAATAGGTAAGGGGTGGGGGGGGGGGGGGCTACTTCATAGGAGGGTGGGGGGGGGGACTACTACATGTCGAAAGTCGTGAGGAAGAGGAATGCTGAAATAGGTAGGGGGTGGGGTGGGGTGGGGGGCTACTACATATCGAAAGTCATGAAGAAGAGGAATGCTGAAATAGGTAAGGGGTGGGGTGGGGACTACTACATAGGAAGGTGGGGTGGGGACTGCTACATAGGAAGGTGGGGGGACTACTACATGTCGAAAGTCGTGAGGAAGAGGAATGCTGAAATAGGTAGGTGGGGGTGGGGGGGTGGGGGTGGTGGGCTACTACATGTCGAAAGTCGTGAGGAAGAGGAATGCTGAAATAGGTGGGTAGGGGGTGGGGACTACTACAGAGGGGGGTGGGAGGTGGGGGTGGGGGTGGGGACTACTACATGTTGAAAGTCGTGAGGAAGAGGAATGCTGAAATAGGTAGGTGAGGGTGGGGACTACTACATGTCGAAAGTCGTGAGGAAGAGGAATGCTGAAATAGGTAAGGGGTGGGGGGGGGGGCTACTACATAGGAGGGTGGGGGGGGGGGGGGGGGGTGGGGACTACTACATGTCGAAAGTCGTGAGGAAGAGGAATGCTGAAATAGGTAGGGGGTGGGGTGGGGTGGGGGGCTACTACATATCGAAAGTCATGAAGAAGAGGAATGCTGAAATAGGTAAGGGGTGGGGTGGGGACTACTACATAGGAAGGTGGGGTGGGGACTGCTACATAGGAAGGTGGGGGGACTACTACATGTCGAAAGTCGTGAGGAAGAGGAATGCTGAAATAGGTAGGTGGGGGTGGGGGTGGGGGGCTACTACATGTCGAAAGTCGTGAGGAAGAGGAATGCTGAAATAGGTAGGTGGGGGGGGTGGGGGTGGGGGGGGGGAACTACTACATGTCGAAAGTCGTGAGGAAGAGGAATGCTGAAATAGGTGGGTAGGGGGTGGGGACTACTACAGAGGGGGGTGGGAGGTGGGGGTGGGGGTGGGGACTACTACATGTTGAAAGTCGTGAGGAAGAGGAATGCTGAAATAGGTAGGTGAGGGTGGGGACTACTACATGTCGAAAGTCGTGAGGAAGAGGAACGCTGAAATAGGTAGGTAGGGGGGGGGGTGGGGGGGGACTACTACATGTCGAAAGTCGTGAGGAAGAGGAATGCTGAAATAGGTAGGTGAGGGTGGGGACTACTACATGTCGAAAGTCGTGAGGAAGAGGAATGCTGAAATAGGTAGGTAGGGGGGGGGTGGGGGGGACTACTACATGTCGAAAGTCGTGAGGAAGAGGAATGCTGAAATAGGTAGGTGAGGGTGGGGACTACTACATGTCGAAAGTCGTGAGGAAGAGGAATGCTGAAATAGGTAGGTAGGGGGTGGGGTGGGGAGGACTACTACATGTCGAAAGTCGTTAGGAAGAGGAACGCTGAAATAGGTAGGTGGGGGGGGGGGGGTGGGGACTACTACATAGGAGGGTGGGGGTGGGGTGGGGACTACTACATGTCGAAAGTCGTGAGGAAGAGGAATGCTGAAATAGGTAGGTAGGGGGGTGGGGACTACTACATAGGAGGGTGGGGTGGGGACTACTACATGTCGAAAGTTGTGAGGAAGAGGAATGCTGAAATAGGTAGGTAGGGGGGTGGGGACTACTACATAGGAGGGTGGGGACTACTACATGTCAAAAGTTGTGAGGAAGAGGAGTGCTGAAATAGGTAGGTAGGGGGTGGGGACTACTACATGTCGAAAGTTGTGAGGAAGAGGAACGCTGAAATAGGTAGGTAGGGGGTGGGGACTACTACATGTCGAAAGTTGTGAGGAAGAGGAACGCTGAAATAGGTAGGTAGGGGGTGGGGACTACTACATGTCGAAAGTTGTGAGGAAGAGGAATGCTGAAATAGGTAGGTAGGGGGTGGGGTGGGGGTGGGGGGACTACTACATGTCGAAAGTCGTGAGGAAGAGGAATGCTGAAATAGGTAGGTGGGGGGTGGGGGGACTACTACATAGGAGGGTGGGGGGTGGGGACTACTACATGTCGAAAATCGTGAGGAAGAGGAGTGCTGAAATAGGTAGGTAGGGGGGGGGACTACTACATGTCGAAAGTCGTGAGGAAGAGGAATGCTGAAATAGGTAGGTAGGGGGGGGACTACTACATGTCGAAAGTCGTGAGGAAGAGGAATGCTGAAATAGGTAGGTAGGGGGGGGACTACTACATGTCGAAAGTCGTGAGGAAGAGGAATGCTGAAATAGGTAGGGGGGGGGCTACTACATAGGAGGGTGGGGGTGTGGTGGGGGCTACTACATGTTGAAAGTCGTGAGGAAGAGGAATGCTGAAATAGGTCGGTAGAGGGGGGGACTACTACATAGGAGGGTGGGGGGTGGGTGGGGTGGGGACTACTACATGTCGAAAGTCGTGAGGAAGAGGACTGCTGAAATAGGTAGGTAGGGGGGGGGGGGGGCTACTACATGTCGAAAGTCGTGAGGAAGAGGAATACTGAAATAGTTAGGTGGGGTGGGGAGTGGGGACTACTACGTAGGAGGGTGGGGAGTGGGAACTACTACATGTCGAAAGTCGTGAGGAAGAGGAATGCTGAAATAGGTAGGGGGGGGGCTACTACATAGGAGGGTGGGGGTGTGGTGGGGGCTACTACATGTTGAAAGTCGTGAGGAAGAGGAATGCTGAAATAGGTCGGTAGAGGGGGGGGGGGGGACTACTACATAGGAGGGTGGGGGGTGGGTGGGGTGGGGACTACTACATGTCGAAAGTCGTGAGGAAGAGGACTGCTGAAATAGGTAGGGGGGGGGGGCTACTACATGTCGAAAGTCGTGAGGAAGAGGAATACTGAAATAGTTAGGTGGGGTGGGGAGTGGGGACTACTACGTAGGAGGGTGGGGAGTGGGAACTACTACATGTCGAAAGTCGTGAGGAAGAGGAATGCTGAAATAGGTAATTGTGGGGGTGGGGACTACTATATGTCGAAAGTCGCATTAGGGTCACAGCGAAAACAAGATTCACGTAAATAAGCTAGAGTCACAATAAAACTATCATCACGGCTGACACATTTGATCTAGGGTCACGTCTTGCACATTTGATCTAGGATTACGTTACAAATTAAATTAAAATTAACGTGACGTCAAACACGTAATTTAATGAATTGATTTCCTCGTGTCCATCGCTTAATGTTGACAGTAGGCCGAGGGCCTTATATAAAAAAAATTGGGTTTTTTAAAACTGTAACCTGACCCTTATCAAATTCCAGTGTGTCTTTTCAACGAGCAATAACCGGCTAGCCTGCGCCGCTTTTTGACCTCTTGACCTTCTCTGGACACCCTCGTAAATCTTTTGTAGCCCACGATGTAAACAAATCACAGATCCTCGTGTTGCTATTTTTAGACCATGCCTGCGAGCTACCTCGCTTCTCCACGCTGAATTAAACTTATGAACGATCACATCGTAATTTCGCTTTGGCTTGATTCAACTTATGAACGATAGAAGTTTGAATTCTCCCTCTTAACTCGCTAAACACTAACCCTCGCATTTGAATGTTAGGGTGCAAAAATAATTTGCTTCAGTTTAATCAAAACAGTTTTCACACATTCCCAGTAGGTAGAAAATATCAAATAATGAAAATATGTGTACAAAATTAATTTAATTTAATCGTAGAATTAATTACGACATATTTTTTTAAACTTTGTTTTGCTACTTTTTAAACTGAATTTTATTTTTTATTCCAGTAATCGATGAAAATCTGCGAGGCATCCTGCTAAACAAGAAGGAAGCTCTATCGTACTTGACCAAACGTGAGGTTCGTGGCTCCATCACGTGTGAGTGCTGCTACAACCGGTGCACACAGTCGGAACTTTTACAGTACTGTCCTATTCAACCGCTACACCGGGACAAGCGGAGTCTGCACGGAATCAAGGGAGATTAATCTGTCTTACTTTTAGAAGTTTCGCATTTATTTATTATAGGTTTATTTTTAATTATTAAATAATTGCAGAAGACAGTAATAGTCTGCTCAACTGCAACAAAACCATCAGCTTTAAAATATTCTAACAGTATCTTAACTAGCTAACAAATTATTATTTTTTTGTTATTCGTCAGTTACAATTTTGTAGCAAGTAAAGAATAACTGCCTTAGTTTAAAATTGAGAAATATCTATCATTCATGTTTGTTTTAATTTTACGTAAGCTTCCAATTGATATTCATGCTATGAATTTCTTCTCGATCGTTTATGTCGTATGATGACCTTTCCCCGCGAGTTTGGTGTGTAGCAGTTTAACCTTGACACGCCCAGCACACCCGGTGTGTGTAAGCATCCAGTGGTCAGTTGGTCGAGATTGTCCGGCATTTACTTTGGCGCGTCACACCTTGTCCTTCAAACACCTTCTTACTCATGCCTTCGTTCTCAGCTGCCATCGCCATGGCTTTTTGTCACTTCCTCTTTCTTGAGAGTCGTGAGGGTCACATTTAAATCCAAGTCATGACGAGATTCGCATTTTCAATCACTAGAGTCATGAGTCACAAATGCAATCATTGAAGTCATGCGAGTCACATTTGTAACGAGAGTCCCAGTTTCAATCAATAGAGTCATGACGCGTGTCACATTTGTCAATCACGGGAGTCATGAGAGTCACGTTTCACTCAACAACCAGGGTAACATTTGTGACAAAAGATATGGCTGCACGGGTGGGGTTTCACATTATAGGGGTCAGGGGCGGAGAATGTGAACATTTGGAGCAGGGATGGATGTGGGGTGTTGGGCAGAGAAATAATGTGTAACATCTGCGGGTAATCCTATGGATTTTGTCGTTGGATAAACTTTAACAAGATAGTCTTTATTTATGTTTTATTTATTTATTTTGCTGAGTTGAATGATTCAGAGTAATTTAGAGGATTAAGTTATTTTTGTAGAACAAACTCTAGAAGTGTTCTGTCGCCTGTTTAACAAACATTCTAGCTTCCTCAAGTTTCCTAGCTCTGTTGTGTTTCAAACAGACGCTTTTAATATTCGGTGCACACTACAGTTCATACATGGAGAGGATGCAAGCAAGGATTTAATGTCTAGACTGAGAATAACTTCCACGTTTGAAATGTCGTTATTAGAAAAGACATGGCCAATTTTTTTTTAAGCTTTATTTTCAAACATGGAGTAGTAGATTTTTATGTTGATTATTATTTTCATTGTTGTTGATTTTTAAAATACTTCTATCACCTTTTGAACTATTCAAGCCACATTCCTTGTATGGGTGAAGTAAATTTTGTAATTAATTTAAATAAATAAACAACATGTTATTTCAAGTTGATGTGACCTTTTAAATACAATTCCACAAAGTATTCAGAGTGTGCTTCAAGGCTTCAAGTGTCCAACTTGCCTTTCTTGACCTCGGTGTTAATCTCCACCCCTCTGTCTACAACTGAAATAAAATTCAAACCTTGATTGTTGAAATCACATCGCAAAAGCCTTTTTTTTTTTACTTTTGTTCAATATCTTGTTTTATGTATACACGATGATTGATCTAGTTGCTGCTATATTTAGTACATCAATGATACTATTGATACTGTACTTTGCTCATTCCTAATCTTTGTAGTTTGATATAAGCTGATTGAGGATTTTAACACACAAATTGAAAAAGCCCTAATGGCCAATACACTTACTAAGTTTTGACAACTATGGATAAAGCGATATATATATATATATATATATATATATATATATATATATATATATATATATATATATATATATATAAGTGACCCAGGTTATCTACGCCACTATCTGTTAATTAAAACTAATTAAACAACTGAAACCTACAGACGTCATACACAGATATTAACTTGTGAAGCAGTACTAAATCACCACACAAAGTAACTAGTCTCTAGTTATTGAACTGCTCAAGTCAAAATCAATTGTGTTTGCCGAGCTCAAGACACTAGCAGTTCTTTTTTTTTATTTAATTAAGAAAAAGAAAAAAAGATTACCTCCCCTTTTTAGAATTGTTGTTTCAAGTAATGTAATCGAAGGGCTGGATCTCGCTGTAAAAAAAAAAAAACCCAACACGTCATCCGCCCCTGGACACTGTTCACACTCAAGTTGAACAAAAACTATTCTTGTGCTCTCTCTCAGGCGGACCTCTACGACGTCTTCAACGTGAAGCATGAGCCCAGCTAATCAAATGAAACATTCAAATTACTTCCAGGTTCACCTTCCAATACCACCCTCCCCGCCATCTTACACACAATTGAGTAATTAAGATTTTCAGAAATAGAACGTATTCCTCAGGTTAGGAAATTATCTAATGACGCTCGTGTCAGACAGACGAGCTTATAAACTCTTTATAAACACACGTTGTCTTATATCCCATAGGGATCGTTCTTCTTATAAAATTCAAGTCGCTTGGCTATATTTGCGTTCTATGGATTGGCTGTATTCGCGTTTTATGTGCGGAAATAATGGAATGCATCCGAAAATCACGAGTTCATTAGAATGTGAGATATAGTCTTTTTAAGGGTGTGAATTTGTATGCCGACGTACTGTTAACGTAGGGGCCCCTTTACGATATCTGTTATACTGGCAGAAAAATATTTTTGGTTCCACTTTAGTGTTCTGTGATAGCCATGGTGGTAGGTTTGAGGCCTCTGTAGAAGTAGTGGTACTGTTCTAGACGGACATGAGAAGGACTAGCAACTAACAGCTTTCAGACAACTGGGCTGTGGTCTAAACTAGGTTCTTGCCACCTGGTTCATCGCCAACGTTAGCTACAGCTACATACCCGGCCACAAGATGGACCAGTAGGAAAATGGTAACATGGAAACATGCACCCGATGTTGGGGTTAGTTAACCAAGAAAGTCGTAGAGATAGCCATTGGTAGTCGAATCAGCTCATGTGATCGCTGTCAATGTGATCGCTGTCAACTAGCTATCTCCAATTTTTAAATAAATTAACCAACTTTGAAATTAATTTTATGATATTATTGCGTTCCTATCGTGGATGAATTAATCTCTAAAGTTTGTAAGCACTAGCTTTAGAAAAAAAATTGATCTGCAAGAATTGACCACAAACTGATCCAAAGACAAACGGATACTTTGACTCTTTTTTTAAAAAAAGGAAAAAAAAAAACATTTTTTTTACATTGTCGATAATCCAGGAAATATCCAGACATTAATAATAATCAAAAAATAATATTAATGAATTTGTAGGAAAACAAACACTGTTCTTCACCATTTGTTTCCTAATATGTCTCCCCCGTGAAATTATAGTACCTGTACATTTTTATTGAAAAAAAAAACCCACAAAAACTGAGTGCCGTAATTTAAAAATTTTAAAGCTGAGTTGCCTTAAAGTTCAAAATAAAATTACAAATCAAATGGAGAATTCGACGCTATTTTGGTTGAGATAAAATTATAGCTTTGGCGGATGTGTATGATTGGGTGGTTTTGTAACAGCTCAAGGTCATTTGACAAATTACTAATCCGCTTTCTTGTTGCAGTAGTTACAAAACTAACGGAGTTATTTTCAGTCGCATTCTATTTTTTCTTGATTGCTCAACATTAAATGTAGTAGTTCTAAAAGATAGAGAAATACAGTAATTTTGAAGTGTTTTCTAAATGTTAATTAAAGTCAGTTTTGTAATGGTACAGTTGATCGTTTAAAAATTATTTAAAAATTCATTTTAATATTTTATGAGGTGACATAGCTTATAAAAAAAACTAGAATGCAAACGTATGGCTCCAAATTTACATGCTGTATTTATAAGTCATTCATCGAAACCGTAATACGTATCGTGGTTGTAAAAATAAAACACCTTCACAGATACACCATGAAATGTTAACTGCCCAGATCACAAATATGAACATTGGCAAGTTTATGTCTTGGCAAGTTTGACGATGGCACGGATACAGAGTTTCTTCCAGGCATCTCTTCGGGGGGGCGAAGCCCCCCCGAAAAATTTTTACCGCCCCCCCCCAAACGAAATGAAATTTATATAATTTATATAGAAAATATATACTTTTAACAGTGTCCGCCCCCCCGAAGAAAGTTTACCCCCCCCCCCCCCCCGAAGATTTCAAGTGCCCCCCCCCCCCCCGGAGAAAAAAGTCTGGAAGAAACACTGCACGGATATGTCTGAAGAAATTGGACAATGGCAAGTCTATGTCTGATCAAATTGGACAATTGCAAGTCTATGTCTTGTCAAGTTTGACAGTGTCAAATTTAAGTTTGGTAAAGCAGGACAATGGCAAGTCTATGCCTGAACAAACTGGGCTATGGCAAGTTGGGTCACTTTAAACAATTGTAATCCTAATCTTGTCAGGTTGAAACACGGTAAGTCGGGTCAAGAATAATTTGTCAAGTTATAGGTATTGCCCTCCACCGAAAACACGCCTTTCCATAATTATCATTTTATTTACCCAGTTCAGCCTGACATCGTTCATTATTCTAATAAAAATTGTTTCCCCAAGTTTAACGAAACAAAATGTAATTGTTTTTTTTTTATCAAAGACATTCAACGTGGAAGGACACTGGTTGAAAAAAAAGTTCAGCTTTCTGTTGAGTTTCTTCTGTCGTCTGCTGGCATTTAAGGAAACTATGCATGCTGCCCAGCTTCGCTTAGGCTTTCGAAAACATTGAGAATTTGAATGCTTAATTAATTCGCCCATATAAGGCGCCGGTCAGTCGAGGTCAGTTTTGACCCCCTCATCGTAGACTTTTCGGCCAACCGGCCCCCGTGTTCTGTCGCCCCAAGGCAAGATCCTGCCAAATTTGAAGCGCCTGCGGCGCCGGGAAGTGCATCGGGCACCCGACAACTTAGCTTTATAGATCATCTAGATCTAGATCTAGAATCTCTAGATCTATATGATCTAGAATCTCTAGATCTAGAATCCAAATAGATAATTTTTTAAAGTTTAGGCCGAGAAAATCGTATTGTATACATTTCATAGCGTACATAGCTCTAAATCATATTTGAATGAAATAGTTCATTTCTTTTTATTCTAAACTCGGAAGATGACGTCATCAGTTTCGTGCTCTTTTTTTAGTGTAAACAATAAGCGACGTCATTGTTAGATGCGTTTTTGTCCCAAGTTTAAACACTTTTCCGGTTGCATAAATAATACTGTTTCTCTACATTCGAATACGCCTTTATTTTTTATTTTTCTTCTTTAAATAAAATTGTGGTTATACATTTAAAACATCTAACATATTATTTTCAACAAAAGTCCGTAAAAAGGTATCCATATATCGCTGCCGATTCTGACGTGATGTCCGGCGAAAATATTTTGCGGACAGACAGAGAGAGAGAGAGAGAGAGAAGAGCGCACATGGCCTTTTATATATTAGGATGTTGATTCGCGACTTTATATCAAGTGCCTTTCCCCCCCCCCCCCCCCCCGGAGAAAAAAGTCTGGAAGAAACACCGCTTGTACATTCCATATGTTAGGCCAAAACAGCAGCCGCAATAAAAACAACAGCTAATCGTCTTTGTTGTCGAAGTCGTGAAGAGACTATGATTACAATGTTGTAGATTGTAGAGTGTAGAAAAATTATCCAATAATAATTCAAATGTTCAATGAAAAGAATATTAATACTGGGGAAAATAGCGGAGCGTTTTCTTTTCAATGAATCAAAACAAAAAAAATGTTTCCTTCTCAAGACGTTTAGAGTTCTTTCCCCTTTATGTTGGGTCTTCCCTACAACAACACGGGGTCAAGTGAAATCAATTGAATTTATGACCAAATATATTTTCATTGTTTCCACTCTCTCGTTCATTTACTTTATTGAAATAAGCAGATGTGTTTGGCGAGAGACCCTTTATGGACCTTGTGGAAACCGTTTTAAAACGAACGGAGAAACACAATCATAATTATAATTGTCAGACAGAGGTCACCCCCTCCCTCCTTCCAATTAGGATCAAAATGTTGAAAGTGGGAGGGGGGGGGGGATATGAAGTCAGTGGCCTCAGACTGGTGGTCGACAGCTAGGACTTTAAAATGTGTCGTGTATCATCTTAATAACATAGGCATGTGTAGAGAGTTCAAATCTGTGCAGTGTTTCTTCCAGACCTTTTTCTCCGGGGGGGGGGGGGGCGGGGGGCACTTGAAATTTTCGGGAGAACGGACTACAATTTCCTGGGGGAGGGGGGCGGACATTGTTAAAAGTATATATTTTCTATATAAATTCCTTGATAATGATAATTTTTATCATTTTTTTTATCCTCCACATTGGGGCGGGGGAGACTTCTAGAGTGGACACTTGTGGTCAGATGGGAGGTGGGAAGGGATCTACAATTAGATGTACTAATCATGTTCTAAAAACTGTTACATATTTTATATCAAAATATACAGGTGCCATTTACTTCCTATATAGTGGCGAGCGCATTTCGGTTAATGATTTCCTTTAAGTTTCAATATCACTTCATATTCAAATTCCCCAACAACATATTTAAAAACACTAAAAAAAAATCCTGCCCCGGGTGAGGATCGAACTCACAACCTCCGCATGACTTTTCTCCATTGGTAACAATGGGAAGGTACTGTCTATAAGTACGGCGCGCTAACCGATTGTGCCACCGGGGCTGGCTACCTCATGTTGAGTTCTAAATTGCCAATGCTTCTTCAGAATGGAAATCGTTCCGCATAATTATAACGGCCTTCATACAACGGATTTTTGTATCGTTATTTTGTGCTTTAACCACGTAACTAAAACGATTGGGTCATTAATCTGGACGTGTCGAAGCGTTTAAAATATGCCGTAGAGCTAACAGAAGCACTCAAGGCTATTTCATTTTAAGGTAGCCATCATATTCAGGATCTTTGAATTCGTTTTTTTATTGGTGAAAGGGGGGGGGGGACTACTGATGTTTCGTTGTTATTTTTTAGCTTGCTTAGGTGATCATGTGCTTGGGTCAGGTGGGGGTGGTGGGGTTTTAATGCGATACGCGAAATAGCAAAGAGGTAAAAATGCGAGAAGGGTGCGGAAACTGTTGGTCATGTGACGTCTTTGTCTTGTCGTTTCCCGCTTGTTTGGCTACCATCTGGTAAAGTGCTAAAGTTTTAAACATTTAGGCTGAAATAATGTTTTCGGTAAAACAAATTTACCTTAGCTTGCAACAGTTTGACCTATATTTATTGGCAGGCTTATGTGCCCTAAAGGAATAACTCAATTAGCAAGTTTCTTTTAAAAAAAATAGTTGTTTCAAAGCAAAAATAATAGGGTATATGTTGAAGAAGGGAGGGTAATGTCTGACTTTTAAGGCGATGGAGAGGGTGGATCATTAAGACTGTAACGCAGCATACATTGTGTAAAGTGAAAAACATAGGGAAAAAAAATTAAAATTTAAAATTAAGATCGTATAAAAAGTCTTAGCTTCATAACATCTCTCCGTGAGATCTAGATTTTTGATTGACAATAGAATTGCACTGGAAAAAGTGTTTACACTGCTTTTCTTGTTTTAAATGTGGACGATATTGACCGAGGGGCGTATCCTATACCTAGACAGGCCTATATTTTATAGAGGTGCTAAATATGTAGCGTACTGTAATCTTATTAATTTATCGTAGGGGATTGTTCCGCCCGACCGCTGCACATATCAATTTCGCTATATTGGAATATTTAGTAATATTAAATCCCCTGGGACCACAAGGGAAAAAACCTATGTGTGCACCCAAGAATGGTGCTGTAATAGTATACTAGTGTTTAGATTATTATTTTTTAAAATGTTCTTTTTTGTATTCATCTATTTTACCATTGCTATTTAAACTTCCGCTAAGGTGCAAAATTCAAGCACATAATCTGGAGTTGGGGGCCCCTTTAAATATTTCTCAGACCTCTAAGACACAGTCAGTCTAACCCTATTTATAGCCAATACGGTGGGGGGGGGGGGGGGCTTGAAAACATACTAACTAATACTGCATACGCCCCTGGATTTGACCTGGCTAAAATTAGTATTCCTAGCTCTCTATTATAGGAAAATAGAATTATGGTTTACCCTAGCAATGATGGCGCCTGCTGTAAAGCTTGCTGCAAATTATAAATAATCGTATAGCTAACTAATTGAACGATAAACCTGAATTTGTAAGAGTCTAGTCTAGTTACTTCCATGCATTTACGGTAGTTTAAATTACGCTTGATGGTGATACTTTTTTTCTAAATACTACCAGAAGCAACGTCTAGAATTCTAATTATTTTTAATTTTAAAAAATCTTGTTTCAACTTGCTGCTGACTGCTGAAGTTCATCATTCTAGCCAAAGCTTTTTACTTTTTCAATGTTTTCACCTTTTCAGTATTTTTTATGCAGCCTAAGCTCCTTACTTGAACAACGAAGTGTCAAAATTGTAACTATCACCTTTGCTAGATCTAAAATAGGGGTATTTTAGGGCTAATACAATAATTTTGGCTAATCTATCGTTTTAGGTGCGTAAAATCTGCCAAGGCTAGTAATGTACAAAAAAGTTGCCTCACTGATAAGGCTTAAATAGAAGAATATTGTGATATTTTTGTGTCAAATATTATAGATAACTGAATAATAAACCAAAATCTATGGCTAAATATAATCAATATAGGCCAGAAATTAACTTTAAACAGCAGTGTTTGCGAGCAATATTTGCTGTTTAAACAGCGGCCATCTGTAAGTTAGAGTGGTTTCCCCTGAATCTCTAACTATAATTTAACAAAAAAAAACTCAAACAAGAAGGCTACTAAAGTAAATGAGCTTGGTTGCATCTGATTTAAAATTTAAACATTGCTAGTCTTTATTTATTACTGAAAAGTTTTAATACAATTGTTTAATACAGGTACATCAATGAAACGTTGAAACATTTTTGTAACTTTCAAAACATAAATCCTCCTAAAAATGTGAAATAATTATCTCTACTAAAATTTAATGAGTCACCTTTTTTCACATTACTAGTCTACACATTACTAGTTACCTTTAATGTTTTATTTAGGCCTAAAAGATAGATATTTTTAAAAATGCCAGCAGGTCATATCAAAGCAGTTTCTTCTAATATCACCACTCTTACTAAGTTTATGAGTCTTACAATACTACCCTGACCTTAACAGCAAGACCAGCAGAAAAAAATGATAAAAATATTAATACTGCTTTTCTGCTGCCCTTTTATTTATTACGTAAAGACCACTGTTTATTTTGCATTGATTTGTGAAAGAAATGTAACATCAGGGACTGGAATCAATAATATATTTTACTTCAAGCTATGAGTATTTTTACTTAATGTTAAATACTTGTTGGTAGGTTGATCCCCACTGGTTTGTGACTCATCAATGAAATCATAATTCTATATTAATAGGGCCTAAATATAGGCCAACTAAATATGTGTATTTAACTAGTGCTGCAATACTCTTTAAAACAATTATTAATATTTGGATACTGCATTATAACTGGTAAAAAAACAGCTGTTTATAGCAATATTATATATAATTTTAAATTACATTATAATAACCTGAGTAATTTTTCACCACATAGGTAAGTGAATGCAATCCTAGACAACTCAGATGGCACCAATAGATTGGTCAGCCATAGAGGCTGTCAATGTATCTTCAATACCAGAGGACAAAGCTGATGAGCTGTTTGAACTGCTAAAGGATGTAAGTATTTCATGGCTGAGTGTTGTTTATATGAAGGGTGTTTCATGGTTAAGAGTTGTTTGCTTGAAGGTGTAAGTATTTCATGGCTGAGAATTGTTTGTTTGAAGGTGTAAGTATTTCATGGCTGAGAGTTGTTTGTTTGAAGGTGTAAGTATTTCATGACTGATAATTGTTTGTTTGAAGGTATAAGTATTTTATGATTGAAAGCTGTTTGAGCTATTGAAGGATGAATTTTATGAATCACAGCACATTATACTCCAATATTGCCTCCTTGTTTAAATTTACCATACCGTTTTTTTAAAAAGCTTAGAAGTAAAGGTTAGTTTTTATAAAGGTATTTAATATATGAATATATAATATTTCAATCAATTGGTTAATGTTTCTTTTTCTATTTTAATCTTTTAGGGCAAGTTGGGAGATGATTTTGACATCCCCAAAATTAGAAAAGCATTTGATGTCTGCAAGGCCGTAATGATCAACAGAAACCAGTTGCTAGAAGATGCTATGAATGAAGCAGAGCTGGAAGCAAAAAAAGCATTAAAAAAAGGTGGCTTTGTGTAAAAGCTTAATGCAGTAAAAATATTATGCTGTAGAAAGATGAATAGACTAATCTTTGTCCCTAATTCTCTGTTCACAGAACAAGAGCTGAAAAAAGAGCTAGAAAAACTTGAAAAACAAAAGGATGAACTACAGGTATGTTAATGATAATAAATAGTTTAACTAATTAAAACTTTGCTCCCACTGTTTTTGTCACAACACTGACTTGACTTTCATCTATCCTCTAACCAATACTAGTTTTGATTAATTCGCAAAAATCATTTATTACTAATTTAAACCTTCTTACCCTTGGTGTAACTATTAAAGAATCAAATGCATCATTTTGGGATACTATAAACCAATTTGAGTAGATACATTTTTTTAATGTTGAATGTAGAAATATGGTCCTGAGGGAGGCGGCTCAAGAGACACGAGATACCTCAGGGACCAATTGAGAGAGCTGGAGGAAACCAACGACCAATTGAAACAAGAGGTCAAGGACTTAAACAGGGATCTCAATGGAGAGAAAAGGGCGGCTGAGAAAGTTTGTTCTCTATTGATTTTTTAATTATTTCATTGAAGTTTTACTTACTTTTTCATATTTATATGCACATGTTAAAACTTAAGTATTTTTTTTTTTATTATCTATAAGAAGTAAAACATTGTGTAATATAATTTTAATTAAAATGTTACAGCTTCGATTTACTTACTAAATCACTTTTTAGGCTAGAAAACATTTGTATGTATAATAAATATATTATTTTACTTACAGTACAGTGAAAGGATCAATGAACTTGAAAAGGAGCTGAAGGAAACCAGAGAAGATGTAAAGTTGTGCTTTTCAAATCATTAATTTTTATCATTTTTAAGCAAGGCTTTATGTATAATGTATTTATGACACACATTATTCATTTAAAAAAACTCTGTTTCACTGTTTACGTTTTGCAACAGAATGACCAAATGCGTCAGGATATCAGTGACTATAAGATGCAGATGCAAACACAGAGGGACAGCATTGTCTCCAGGCGTGGTGAAGATGCTGAGTACAGAGATAAGCTGGCCAAGAAGAACAGGGAACTGGCTGAAACTATGGAGGAGCTGCAGGTACAATTGTCCTGATTTTTGGGGAGACATATAAACTCTTTCTGCCACTTTAGATGCCATCCTTGAATTATTTTGCCATGTTATAATGTTATAATTTTTTTCCTCCAGAATTCTTTACCACACTGTAAAACATTGATAGGTATTTGAGTTTAGAATCTCACTGGAAGTTTTTTTTTTTATTCTCTTATAGTTTTAACATGCCACTTAGCTTATTTTTTATATTATTTTAATACAACCAGCTTATCATCTTCAGAATGTAACAGATGCCAACGACCTGCTTCAGAAGAGGTGTGAGGATCTCCAGAGGAACTTGGAAGATGCCATTCAGCAGATGGATCGTACATCTGAAGATTACCTTAAGCTAAAGGTAGTTCCACCTTGATGCTTCCTTCACCTGCTGGTGCTGGTGTACTCCAGCATAACTTCATTTAGAAATCTTAATTTAATGGCTTCATTTATTTTTTTTTTGCTAAAAAATAAATGTCTATTGAAAGATATACAATATATAATATTTACTGAGGGAGAAGTTGATTTAAAAACTATATTTGTGCAGAATGTCCTCCAACAAAGTGATGCTGTGACAGATGCCCTAAGGGAAGAGAATGAGATCCTCAAGAACCAACTCCAAGACCTAACTGAGCAGGTCCAGTCCAAAGGGGAAGCTGATGATGCCATCATGGTGGCGGTCAACCAAAAGGTGGACGAGTGGCAGGTATGTTGTCCAAGTAAACAAAGGGGTGTAGATAGAGAGTGTTTTTCACATTTATGTTTTACATAACATATAAATGGGCATGGGGTTTACTCAATTTGCAAATATATAGAAATATAATATTGCATTAACACAAGTTGTTGACAAAACATAATGTTTTAAATAAACATTGATCAAAATTTTAAAAAGCATTCCAAATAAACATTCATTAAACAAGGCATTTCTATTATAAATTTGTTGCTTCAAAACAATTTTTTCAATTGAATGCTAAATCTTTCACTCTCATACCGATATGTACATACATATTATACAGGATTTTAAAAATAGGAAATCTGTTGTTTTATGGCTTTTAAGTTTTGCGAAGTATGAGCTCCAATTTATCAAAAAATATATTTAAAATTCCTTGAATTAATCATGATTTTTTATAACATTAACACAAGATAGCCATGTGTTTAGACACTTTTAAACATAAACCTCCAGGGATCAGACCTTGAGGCCCAGAAAAGAAATGAAAGCATCCGTTAATAGGATGGTCGACACATTATCAATATTTTAAATTGATATCTGCCCTTATGCACTTTATGTTTGTATTTTGTGCCTCCCCTAGCGTCAGGAAGGATTGCCTCACAGATTGGAAACCACTGCTTTACATAAACAATTTCTTAAAGACGTATACAGATTTTATTTATATGCTTATTGAAAAGTAATCATTGGTAATTAATTATTTTCTGTTGAGCTGATGATGATTTGTGTGTAACTTGACCAGGAAATAATGCAAGAGAAAGACATACAGATATCAGAACTGCAGGAGCAGCTGTTTAGGATGAAGGAACAGCTGATTGCTGCCAACATGGACTCTGATAAGGTGTCTGTTTCAGCTCTAAGTGAGGTAAAAAAAAAAAAATTTCTATTTTTTTTATACAGTATAAAAACTCACCTTTTTAAAACAATTGTTATTTATTATGATGGTTGGAAATAAAATTACAAAAGTAAAATTAAACATGAATTATCGGCTAGTTTGTTTTAAAAGACAATTGTTTTGTTTGCATATAATTTAATGGAATATATTTGAATGTTCTATTGAATTTCAGGTTTTGAAAGATAAAGATAAGCAGATTGTAGAGTTGACAGAAAAAGTCGACCAATGCACCCTAGAGATGGAGAAAAATGCTGCTTTGATAGATGACCTTAACAGTGAGCTTCACAAAGGTGGGTGCTTGTATTTCCTCTGGCCACTGAATAAAGCTGAAACTTTAATAAATACTTAATGTTGTCCGTTTAAGTCTGTCGTGCCACACAATAAAAGTCAAATAATGCAACAAAACATTATCTTCCACAGCTGGCACCTCCCAAGGGGATCGTCTTCAGACCAAACTCAGAGAGTTACAAAATGAAAATAAAATATACTTGGAGCGTATTAAGCATGCAGAGGAAGACATCAAAAAGGTAAAGCTAAATTTTAAGCTCAAACCAAACTTATAGAAAGATTATTGTGAAGAACATGTTAGATTTTTTTATTTGATCTACATTCCTGTACCACCTAATAGTTACATTACTGTACAGTCTAACATTCAGCCTAGTATTTATTAAGAAATTTGTTATGTTCTTAGGCTGATGATGATTGCCGAACAAAGGACAAAGAACTCAGTGAACTGTTGGAAAGGATGAGACAGTATGAATCTGTAAGTTCAAACAAATGTATTGTGTGGAGGTGTTGGAGTATTGAAATTTGTTGGTTTAATAAAAAAAAAATTACAAGCAAAACATCAAATCTCAAGAATTGTTTTTTATAACTTGTATTTTTTAAAATGATCCCAATTTCTCAAATGTATGGTATATTTCTGCTAGGGAGAACGTTTGAAATGATCCAAATTATTGAAATGTTTGGTATATTTCTACTAGGGAGAACTTTTGAAATGATCCAAATTATTGAAATGTTTGGTATATTTCTGTTAGGGAGAATATGGTTTGTCAGAGGCTGTCACAGAAATTAAAGAAGGGAAAAATCAGATCAAGATTAGAGAAAGGTATTTGTGAAATCTCTTATGTTCTGTTAAACATTTTCAAATTTGATTTATTTTCTAAAGTGTCATCTTGTTTTATAAAATAATTATTTGAAAATTCTAACGACGATTATTTGTTTTATCAAAAAGAGAAATTGAAGAGCTGACTTCATACATCAACAAAGCTGAGCTGAAGATTAATGAGCTGCTGGATGAAAACGAAGAACTCCGGTACAAGCTTGGCATGGATCCTAAAGAACCTCTGGACCTGACAGAGTTCCGCAAAAATAAAGCCATTCGGCAGGAGGAGATGAAGGCCTTGAACTTCACACTTCAAAGAGAGGTAACTCATTGTGTGCTGAAAATATTTAACTGTATTATAAAAATCTGAAAATTTTGCCAATATTTGTTGAATGACTTGAAATAAACTATTATTTCACCAACTGATCAGGTTAAAACGACTAAACAAATTTTTCAGCTTGTAAAATTTGTATTAAAATAACAATATTTTATCATTTTAAAGGGTTTGTGTTATTTTCACCCAATTGTCACTTGTAGAAAATAAGTGGGCTGTGATCTAACCTAAATTTTTTGTTGTCAGATTGAATTGTTGGAGGAGGAGAGAATTGAAGACAAGAAGAAAATCAGAAAAATGGCTCAGCAGCTTGGGCAAAGGTAGGATCTGAAAGTTTACATGAGCTTTTAACTTGTAGATGAATCCGGTTTTTTAATAAAAAATTGATTTCAATTATTTCAAGTAAAATTAAACCACATTAATTTCAGTCACAGTCATCAAGAAGAGTAAGAAAATTGATTAAAATAATTTTATACTTTTAAAAGTTTAATAATTCTTTGAAATTTGTTCCACTTTATTTTTTGTTTAAAAAAAATTATTCCTTGTTGAATACTTTAAAAAATCTTTTTTTTTAACTAAAAAGGTACTTTTCTAAATTTCTATATTACAAATAAAGAAATAATAATACAATTTTTAGAGCATCACTTGAAGGTGATACTGGTGTTTTCTGTTTGTAGCAGTTTTTCAAAATATCAATCTAAATATTTGAATAAATGGGTATTTTGCTTTTAAGTTATTATAGATGAGGGCATTAACTTTCAAACATTTTAGTATTTTAAACAACTTATTATAAAGGGATTCTAAACAATTTTATTTTTTTTACAGGGCAGTAACTCTTGGTCTAACAGCAGAAGATATGTTGCTAGTTCAAGACTACACAGAAACACTTAAAGCAAAAAACCGTGTACAGGATGAAAAACAATCAGCTGCTTCAATCATAAGGCAACAGGTTCAGAGGGAAGAAAGTATGATACGGGTAAGGTTTTCAAAGTTGAAGATATTGAAAATTCAGATTCTGTTACATTATTCTTGTTTAATTATTTGTCACAAAGTTTGATTGCAGAGGCCCATCTTAATGTTGTGACTCATCTTGTCATATTTTTGGCCCCTCAGGGAAAAGAGTGGGATAAAGATTACAAAGAAAACATCCTAGAACTGAACAAATTAGAAAAACAAGTTGCTGAGTTGCGAGCAGTAAACCAGCAACTGAACAAAGACAACGAAAGCTTGGAGGCAGGTTTTAAGGAAGTGATGGAGGCTATGAAGCGAGGTGGAGCAGTGGGGAAGGACCAGGGTATGTTTCACACATGGTCAATGCCCTCTTTAGCTCACAGCAGTTTTATTTTTTCATGACTTTTACTTTATATTATGTAATGTTTAAAGAATTTTAAACTCTAGATTTTCTAAAAATTAATTACATTTATTATGTTATTTTAATTAATTTATTGTTTACTTGAGCAGACTCTGATGCTAGTAGTGGTGGGATGCAGTTCCCAGCAATTGAAAGAATGTTAGCTGTAAGTGTTTTATCATTGTGTGGCCTACAATGCTGCTGCATCTACTTGAACTTAAATATAACTTATAACAGTTTTTATTATATAGTGATCACCATACAGCAGCCATCTATATTATAATGTTAACAAATATCATCAGGCTATTGAGGCAAAGAAAGTTCTGGGTAACTATGACACAACATATTTCCTGAAAGAACAAGTGGACGTGCTCAAAGGACGGAACGAGGAGCTGAGAAACGCCATGAGAGAAATCAGAGTGGAGGCCTCAAAGGCAGCTCTGGAAAGAGACAAGGCTTTTGAAAGGGTACGTGCATCAAAGTTGTTTTATTTTTTTCAATTATTTTATATTTTTCCAGATCATATGACAGACTGTAAAATTAAATTAATGCATTGATCACAGTTGGCAAATTATCTCTGTGCCTCTGTTCTTATCATAACAAGAGAAAAATTGAATTTTGATTTGTGTAGAAAAAAATTATAAAATAATCACATCTAAATTTCACATTCTTAAAAGTGTGCTTGTACAAGTTAACATTGTATGCTTTTAAAAAAGTACTGAATATTTGTCCTTCTTTTATCCAGATAGAAAAATTGGAAAAGGATCATTTCACTGTGGGTGAGCCTGGCTCGGGGGGTGCTATGTTTCACCTGATGAAACTCCCTCAGGGAATGGAGCCATCCAGTGCTGATGTCATAGCACAGTTGAACGAACACCTGATCATAACATTACAGGTGTGTAATCAAACTTTAAGTTCAACAACACTTGAAGTGTATGTCCAGCAAGTCACAGTTTACCTACAGCCATCATGATCTATAGCAGCAGTTGTTAGCCTCCCATTAACTCTATAGCAGCAGTTGTTAGCCTCCCATTAACTCTATAGCAGCAGTTGTTAGCCTCCCATTAACTCTATAGCAGCAGTTGTTAGCCTCCCATCCCATTAACTCTATAGCAGCAGTTAATAATAGCAGTTTTTAATACATGACCACCACAAGACAGCAGTTATGTGGTCGATTTTAACTGTAAACCGTTCACTGCTATATAATGTATATGCTGTTTCAAGCTATTTTTTTTTAACTATTTATTTTAAATTTATGTTACTGTAAATAATTTGTTGTTGATGTAAATAAGTTGCTAATTTATCTCTTCATGCAGGAGTTGTCACAGAGGGAAGAGCTCTTGAAAAAAGTGGAGGCCGCATTACAAAACTATAAACGTAAATACGCTGTTATCCGCCACCAACAGGGCTTGTTGTACAAAGAACATCTAGAAAAGAAAAAGGTCAAATAAACTTCTTTATATTTTGGTTTGGTTTAAAATTATGAGTTGTTTAACAGTTGATCTCAAACCAGAACATTGTATAAATTTTTCTTAGAATCGTCTTTAAATAAACTTATAATTTTTATGAAAATAACTTAATTACTTCTGTTCATATGATTATTTAAAATATATTAGTCAATGTTTCTAGTGAGCTGTTGATTTAATTGTTTAATAATTTCCAGGTTTGGGAAGAAGATGTAGAGAAACATTCTAAAAAACTGAAAGAGCTTCAAGGCCAGAGAGAAGAAGATATGGTTAAGATTCAGGAATTTGATGTAGGTTTCTTGATAGCTAGGTTAAGATTCAGGAATTTGATGTAGGTTTCTTGATAGCTAAGTTAAGATTCAGAAATTAAATGTAGGTTTCTGATAGCTAGGTTAAGATTCAGGAATTTGATGTAGGTTTCTTGATAGCTAGGTTAAGATTGAGGAATTTGATGTTGATTTCTTGATAACTAGGTTAAGATTCAGAAATTTAATGTAGGTTTCTGATAGCTAGGTTAAGATTCAGGAATTTGATGTAGGTTTCTTGATAGGTAGGTTAAAATTCAGAAATTAAATGTAGGTTTCTGATAGCTAGGTTAAGATTCAGGAATTTGATGTAGGTTTCTTAATAGCTAGGTTAAGATTCAGAAATTTAGGTTTCTGATAGCTAGGTTAAGATTCAGGAATTTGATGTAGGTTTCTGATAGCTAGGTTAAGATTCAGGAATTTGATGTAGGTTTCTTGATAGCTAGGTTAAGATTCAGGAATTTGATGTAGGTTTCTTGATAGCTAGGTTAAGATTCAGGAATTTGATGTAGGTTTCTTGATAGCTAGGTTAAGATTCAGGAATTTGATGTAGGTTTCTTGATAGCTAGGTTAAGATTCAGGAATTTGATGTAGGTTTCTTGATAGCTAGGTTAAGATTCAGAAGTTTGATGTAGGTTTCATAACTTGTAGACTGGTTAAGAGGCAGATATATAAAACTTTTGAATTGAAGAGAACTAAACTTTTAATTGACCCATCTATGAACAGCGCCTGGTTGAAACACTGGCCACGGATGATGTGGAGGTGAGGAGAAGGTTGTCTGAAATGACCCGAAGGATCACAGTCCTGCGTGTGAATGAAAAGGCTTTGACTAGAAGATACACTACAATGGAGGAGATAGAAGCCTCGCTTAGAAGGGTGAGACAGATGTTATTTTTATTTACCAGTGTTATCAGACATTGGTCATATATTTTATCTTTGTTGTCAGACATGTGTCATATATTTTATCTTTGTTATCAGACATGTCTCATATATTTTATCTTTATTGTCAGACATTAGTCACAGATGTTATCTTTGTTGTCAGAAATGTTATATTTGTTGTCAAATTAGCTAGACAATTTTTAAAGTGACCATTTTTTAAACGAATGTTGAGAAACATCTAGACAACTGTTGTTTTATTGTCTAGGAAGTGACCATATTTTAAACAGATGTTGTTTCTAATGTCTAGGAAGTGACCATATTTTAAACAACATGTTTCTAATGTCTAGGAAGTGACCATATTTTAAACAAGTTGTTTCTAATGTCTAGGAAGTGACCATATTTTAATCAGATGTTGTTTCTAATGTCTAGGAAGTGACCATATTTTAAACAAGTTGTTTCTAATGTCTAGGAAGTGACCATATTTTAAACAGATGTTGTTTCTAATGTCTAGGAAGTGACCATATTTTAAACAACTTGTTTCTAATGTCTAGGAAGTTACCATATTTTAAACAACTTGTTTCTAATGTCTAGGAAGTGACCATATTTTAAACAGATGTTGTTTCTAATGTCTAGGAAGTGAACATATTTTAAACAACTTGTTTCTAATGTCTAGGAAGTGACCATATTTTAAACAACTTGTTTCTAATGTCCAGGAAGTGACCATATTTTAAACAACTTGTTTCTAATGTCTAGGAAGTGACCATATTTTAAACAACTTGTTTCTAATGTCTAGGAAGTGACCATATTTTAAACAACTTGTTTCTAATGTCTAGGAAGTGACCATATTTTAAACAACTTGTTTCTAATGTCTAGGAAGTGACCATATTTTAAACAGATGTTGCTTCTAATGTCTAGGAAGTGACCATATTTTAAACAGATGTTGTTTCTAATGTCTAGGAAGTTACCATATTTTAAACAGATGTTGTTTCTAATGTCTAGGAAGTTACCATATTTTAAACAGATGTTGTTTCTAATTTCTAGGAAGTGATCATATTTTATATATTGTTTCTTATAACTAGGAAGTGACTATATTTTATATATTGTTTCTTATAACTAGGAAGTGACCATATTTTAGATATTGTTTCTTATAACTAGGAAGTGACCATATTTTAAACAACTTGTTTCTTATAACTAGGAAGTGACCATATTTTAGATATTGTTTCTTATAACTGAAGTGACCATATTTTAGATATTGTTTCTTATAACTAGGAAGTAAACAGACAGAGAAATGAGATGGGCCAGATGGAGGCTGCTGTGTCAGAGAGGATTGGATACCTGCAGAGATATAAGGTAATCATAGTCAGCTTTGTTGTTGGTGGTCTAAGACAGCTGTTAGTGGTCCAAGAAAGGTTTGTTGTTGGTGGTCCAAGCAGTAGCGTAGCGAGGGGGGGGTGGGGGGACATATGTCCCTGGGCGCCGACCTTAGGGGGCGCCAACATGGATTGGAAAAATAAATTAAAAGGTTGAGGGGGTTGCAAATCGAAAGTTTGAGGGGGGGGGGGGGGTGCAAATCAAAATCTCGAGGGGGGTTGGTGCAAATCGAAAAGTTTGTCCCTGGGCGCCTGGAAGGGTCGCTACGCCTCTGGGTCCAAGACAGCTGTGTTGGTGGTCCAAAAAAGGTTTGTTGTTGGTGGTCCAAGACAGCTTTATTGTGTGGTAGTGGTTTGCACTTGTTTATTTCAGTCAACTTAAAATTCTTATTTGATATCAACTGAAATTATTGGCATTCCTAGCATGCTAAAATGTTCTTTTGTTTTACGGCTCTATAAAAAATCTTTGTTATAAAAGGTTTTGGTAGTTAATTTACAATTGGCTCACTGATCCAGCAAGTCCAGGTTTTCTTTTAGAACCAGGTTTTAAAATACTTTTGTTTAAAATTATTTACATTCTTGTGTCTTGTTATTTAGTGGGTGGGTGGGGTAATTTTTAATTTTTAAAATAGTTGAATATAAAAATCAACTGTTGGCTTAAAAAAGGTTTTAATTTTTGTTCACTTAATTTCAGGATATGGCAGCCTTTAAAATAGCTGCCCTGCAGAAGGCTTTAGATGATTCAGTGCCATCCATAGAGCTTGACAAGGTGAACAAACAGTATCACAACCTGACAGAGAAATACAGGGACCTGCTGGAGAAAGGCAACTCACTGGTGACCAGAGCTGAAGCCTTGGAGGGGCTGGAGGTACAAGAATCTTTCATGTCACTACACTGTGACAACTTTAGCAAAATACTTTCATGTCACTATACTGTGACAACTTTACCAAAATACTTTCATGTCACTATACGTGGATGTGACAACTTTAGCAAAATACTTTCATGTCACTATACTTGGATGTGACAACTTTAAAAGAATACTTTCATGTCTCTATACTGTTACAATTTTAGCAAAATACTTTCATGTCACTATACTGTAACAACTTAACCAAAATACTTTCATGTCACTATAAGTGGATGTGACAACTTTAGCAAAATACTTTCATGTCACTATACTGTGACAACTTCAGCAAAATACTTTCATGTCACTATACGTTGATGTGACAACTTTACCAAAATACTTTCGTGTCACTATATTTGGATGTGACAAATTTAGCAAAATACTTTCATGTCACTATACTTGGATGTGACAACTTTAAAAAAAAATACATTTATGTTACTATGCTTGAATGTGACAACTTCAGCAAAATACTTTCATGTCACTAAATGTAGATTTGACAACTTCACCAAAATACATTTAACTAAAGTTATAAGTTAATATTTATTCATACTAAAATATAAAATTGGTGTAATTTTATTATAATATTGTTTGTTTATAGGGAGAGGTCAAACAGCTGACAGAGAGTAATGAAGTGTTAAAGAAAACTTTAGAAATGGAAAAAGAAAAACTACATGCACTTGAGGCAGCTATGGAAGAGTTACATAGAAGAGGCAAGCAACTTGACATTGAAGCTTAGATAAAGATTAACTACTAATGTTTTCATTAACTAGAGCAGTTTTACTGACAGTTTATTTATCTGTAACACATATCTTATCAAGTTTTATTATGTAAAACGTAGGTGTCACTAGTGGCACTGATGTGTCAGTGACAGATGGTGACATTATATCCATCTCAAAGAAGATCACAATGTTGGAAATGAAAGAGTTGAACGAAAGACAAAGGGCAGAGCACTCCTCTCGCATGTATCACCAGCAGAGACAAATTCTTCATGATTTGGAAAGTAGAAATAAAGAATTGGAGGAAAAGTTTGCTGAAGTAATTTTTTCTTAATTTTACTTATTACATTAAAAAAATTGTAATTAAATTTCGCATCAGTGGTCATTTTCAGAGAACTATGCCTACATTTGAATACTTATGAAAAATATAATTTTGAATATGTCTTTCTGTTGCATTGAACTAATTGTTTATTTCAATCTCCAGGTTACAAAAATGAATTTGGAGATGCAGACTATAGAAAGAGATTTAAGAGATGAGCTGAGTAGTAAGTTGAGCAGTTTAAAATTGTTGAAGGTTAACTTTAAACCTCAGTTTTTATATACCTGAATTAAGTATTATGTTATGTATATGAGCTACAAAGTGAAGTTATCATGTGTTGAACTTTGACCTCTCCAGATTCCATACCCAAGAGTGTCAGCGACGCAGACAGGAAGAGGATTTCACAGCTGGAAGAAACGGAGATGACTCTGAAACAGGAAATCTCTAAGCTCAAGGTAAAACAGTTTCAGAATCTGTGTCTTGTGGTGGGAAAACAACTTGGTGTACACTAGGATCCACATAGCAGCGCTGGTTAAAGTCAGATTCAAGTTACAGATTAGAGAATACTTGGACATAGAAATATGAATAGAGGCTATAGTGACTAGTAGACAAAATTAGATCAAGTAGCCATAATTCAACAAAGTGATAAGCCCACCTGCTATGCTGCTTAAAATATGTATAAGAAATCGAAGTAACAGACTACATAGAAGATCCTTTTAGTTGTAAGAAATAGACATGTTCCAGTGTAGAAACTTAAGGAGATGTTTGTCCACTCCCCTCCCCACAGGATATGGCTGAAATAGCTTCCACCCAGGTGAGAACCCTGGAGACCCAGCACATAGCACGAGAGAAAGAGTACCAGTCGCTACGGCAACAGCTGCTGGACTTCCAGGTCCAGAGTGATGAGAAGACCATTATAGGTTCGTTATCTCGGCCAGTTTTTTAAAGCTTTAAATTACAACCTGGCATATTTGTGATGAGAAGACCATTATAGGTTTGTTATCTCGGCCAGTTTTTTAAAAGCTTTATTTTACAACCTGGCATATTTGTGATGAGAAGACCATTATAGTTTCGTTACCTCGGCCAGTTTTTTACAGCTTTATTTTACAACCTGGCATATTTTTATTTACTTAATTAAATAATTATTTTAGGCTATCTTCTAGCCTGTATCTGTTATATAATGGTTTTGGTTTAAGTGTGAGTTAATTCTGAATTCTTTTGCTGGGGGACTAAACAATCTGGTCCATAATACCTTATGATCTGAGGTTAACTGACACAAGTGAGATGTAATCCCCACCCTGCCCCATTAAGCTTTGCTTCACATAATGTTGATAATTAACAGAAGTGGTTTCCATCATAGTCAGTCATTTGCTTATCTCTGAGCAGCTCTGTTTGCTCAGCTTTAATGGGTACCTGTAAGCAGACACTGCAGACCATACGATCATTTATTGTACCAGGATAACTCTAACAAGCCAACATAACCACCACATTGTAACACAAACTCTACTACATAGGTAAACTTCACCGCCACATTGAAACACTTATACTCTACTGAGTGTATTCCACAGGTAAACTACACCGCCACATTGAAACACTTATACTCTACTGAGTATATTCCACAGGTAAACTCTACTGAGTGTATTGTGTAGGTAAACTCTACTGAGTGTATTCCACAGGTAAACTGCACCGCCACATTGTACAGCTGCAGGTGAGTGAGGGGTCAGCTGTGAAGCGGCTGGAAGAGGCCCAGAAGAAAGTGACCAAGCTGGAGGCCCAGATTCTGAGGATGGAGCAGAGGGTGGACGACAAGGATCAGGCAATCTTCCACACCAGGCAGGAGGCTCAGAGCAAGTCAAGATACCTGAGGAAATCTCTGCAGGTAACATCCCTGCCGTCATAGCTGCAGTTACCTGTTACCATAGCTACAATTACTTACTGTTGTAGGTACAGTTAACTACTTCAAGGTACAGATTGCTGTAGGTACATAGCTACCTGTTGTCATGGATACAGACATATTTTTTGCTGTTATATGTATAGTTTCATTGTTAGATGATTTTGCTAATGAAAAACTTTTAATTAACCTTGAGCTTTAAAACCTGATAAATTCTTGAATCAATTAGTTGAAAATGTTCTCATTGTTAGGAAATGCATTAAAAAAATGGGGGCCTTTACCAACATTTTTGTGCTGAATTTTTTTTCTCAGGAATTAAGAATCCAATTTGCTGGTGCAGTACCTCTAACAAAACAAGAGAAATTCTCCAGAGCTATGATGCAGCTACAGCAAGATAAAAGCAAACTTGAGCAGGAGCTAAAAGAAGTAAGACACATTAATTTTGTAAAGAATTTTTGAAAATCTAACACTAGCAATTGTCTAAATACAAACACCAATCATTGTCTAAAGAATAACACCAGTCATTGTCTAAAGACTAACACCAGTCATTGTCTTAACACTAACACCAGTCATTGTCTTAACACTAACACCAGCCATTGTCTAAAGACTAACATGCCATTGTCTAAAGACTAACACCAGCCATTGTTTAAAGACTAACACCAGCCATTGTCTAAAGACTAACACCAGCCATTGTCTTAACACTAACACCAGTCATTGTCTAAAGACTAACACCAGTCATTGTCTAAAGACTAACACTAGTCATTGTCTAAAGACTAACACCAGTCATTGTCTTAACACTAACACCAGCTATTGTCTAAAGACTAACACCAGTCATTGTCTAAAGACTAACACCAGTCATTGTCTAAAGACTAACACCAGTCATTGTCTTAACACTAACACCAGCCATTGTCTAAAGACTAACACCAGTCATTGTCTAAAGACTAACACCAATCATTGTCTAAAGACTAACACCAGTCATTGTCTAAAGACTAACACCAGTCATTGTCTAAAGACTAACATGTCATTGTCTAAAGACTAACACCAGCCATTGTGTAAAGACTAACACCAGTCATTGTCTAAAGACTAACACTAGCCATTGTCTTAGACCAGAGAACACAAGGATGAAATGGAGGACAAGATAGCAGCGCTGTCACTCCAACAGAACAGCCTACAGGAGCTGATTGAGACACTGAAAGATGGGAGGGGGGCGCAGAAGGTGCTGGAGTGGCATTCAAAGATTGATGGCGTCAGACTGGAGGAGCTGCAGCAGAGGAGGAACTGTTCCAAGCTGCACCAGAAGGTCCTGGATCGAGTCTTTAATCAATGTTTTATTGTTTTGATCATTGCTTCAATCACTTCAGTTTCAATTTTTGTTTTGTTTTAATATTGCTACTCGTTGATCAGTATTTCATCAATCATTACTTTTGTTATTATCTTTGTTGATGGTTCCTTTCTTTTTGTCTTGATCTTTATTTTTGTCTTTCCTTTAGTCTTAATTTTAATCCTTAGATTAGATTGCTTGCGCATGGTTTACATTAAATTTTCTGTAACGTGCAGGTGAAATATCTAGAGGAGATTATCCGTTCCCATGAAGTGACCATCAGTGAGTTGGAGGCTGACAATGTCAGAATGCTGAAGGTTGGTCTTTTAGTTTTGTACTAATTGCTAAATTGTTTTAATGTCAGGTAGACCATAATATACAAAAGATCAAATTAGCCAATATTTAGGTCAAAATACCAAATAGATAAAAATCAAAGCGCAAAAAAAGCTACACCAAGAAATAAATACTTAGACCAAAATACCAAGTTGAACAAAAATACCTAAACCTAGACACTTATCTAAACTTTTTAAAAAAATATTGCTGTGTTAAACTGGCTGAAGTTTAAAAATGTAAATGTTCTATTTGAATCTGTGTAGGACTATGAAGAAAAACAAATGAGATGGGAGCTGAGAGAGACGGAGCTAGAGAGGACAATACTGACAATGGAGAAACATACAGCAGAGATAGCAGGGGCAGCGTCCAAGGTGGGCACAACTGTTGTCATGTTTTATTTAGGGGCAGCATCAAGGTGGGCACAATTTTAGTCATGTTTTATTTAGGGGCAGCATCCAAGGTGGGCACAGTTGTAGTCATGTTATATTTAGGGGCAGCATCCAAAGTAGCCACAATTTTAGTCATGTTTTATTTAAGGGCAGCATCCAAAGTAGCCACAATTTTAGTCATGTTATATTTAGGGGCAGCATCCAAAGTAGCCACAATTTTAGTCATGTTTTATTTAGGGGCAGCATCCAAGGTAGCCACAATTTTAGTCATGTTTTATTTAGGGGCAGCATCCAAGGTGGGCACAATTTTAGTCATGTTTTATTTAGGGGCAGCATCCAAAGTAGCCACAATTTTAGTCATGTTTTATTTAAGGGCAGCATCCAAGGTGGGCACAGTTGTAGTCATGTTATATTTAGGGGCAGCATCCAAAGTAGCCACAATTTTAGTCATGTTTTATTTAAGGGCAGCATCCAAGGTGGGCACAGTTGTAGTCATGTTATATTTAGGGGCAGCATCAAGGTTGGCACAACTGTAGTTATGTTTTATTTTAGCACAACTTGATGTACACTTGTACATTATTATTTTACGAGCCGGCCCGCGGCATAACATACGCCACTATTTAGTTGTTGTTTTTTCTACTTTTCAGTAATTCATAATTTGTGAATTCGACAGTACCAACGCTGCCACTGAAAATATTTCTTTAAAACACTATAAGTAGCTCGTTAAGGACCATAACCCCCCCCCTTCCTCCCCCCCCCTCCCCCCCCCCCCCCCCCCCTTACGTTTAAAATCGTTGGCTCTGCTTGTAAACATTTAGAGTGAACACAGCTCACTAAGACCATGTAAGGGTGGGGAGATAGGGAGCGCGTTTACAGCTTGTTTTCTAGCGGCTCCCAGAAGAGAATTATATATATAGATTGGAACTTGGTACATTATTTTGTTTGTACTAAAATAAATCTTTACCTCCAGTTTGAGCAAGCAATCGGAGCTTTGCCAAATGCCAAGCTACCAGTGGCCAACCAACTTGAACAGGCCATCTCCACCATCAAAAGCAATGTCAAGGTCATCTTAGACACCCAGGCTGAAAACAAAGCTGTCAAATCTGTAAGTGCTTCAATGTACTTTCAACACTCAAACATAAAAATCTAGAAAGTAAAAACTTTACCATTACTACAAATGAAATTGTATGTCACTTATATATTATCTGTGTGTTTATTTTTAGCGCAACCAGGAATTAGAAAAGCAGCTTAGAGAATCAGAGCGTGGAGTCCTTGAGCGAGACAAGCTAATCTCAGAGCTGAGACTTCGTATGCCAGCAACAGCTGACAGAGATGACATCATTGTGAAGGCCCAGGCTAAGGTGACCCATGCCATAAAGAAGGCGGAGACAGACGGGGTGGATTATGAAAGCCAGCAGGCCTTGAAGATTGCACAGAGTACAGTTCTAAGTCTACAGGTAGGTGCTGGAAATATAGTTAGGTCTAGGTGCCGGAATAGTGGGCAGATAGGTTTGTGTGTGGACTTAGTTAGAGGTTGTAAAGATTTACTTCATATTATAAGCTACTGTGTACAAACTAAGTTTGACTAGCATTTTCTTTACTTTCAAAACATCGTTAATAATTGTTTTTGTGTTCTGAATTTAATTAGTAATGAGTAATGTTCTGTATTAAAATTCAATTTCAGAGCTCAATTTAATTAGTTGTAAGTGATGGATAAAATTTGAGTGATGACTGTGTATTAAAATTTGATTCCAGCAAAGAGTAAACCAGAAAGATGAGACCATTGCCAAGTACGTTGAGTTACTGAAGCAACGACGGGAGGATTTGGTGGAGATGAACCGGCGCCATGAGGAAGAGTTGCGGGCCATGCAGCAGAAAATCCACATGAATACAGATTTAGCTTTCAGTAAATTTAAAGATGCTGCAAGGGAGCTCATTAACAAACAGTCCTCAGTGAGGACAGTCACCACTCAGCAGGTTAGCTCCCTTATCTTGTTACTGGATCTTCTTGCATGAGTTCAGTTCTCTTTCAGACTAACATTCTTCAGCCTTGAGATTTTTCACTAATTAATCTACTGCTCTACCATTCAACCAAGCCATCCATATTATAATCTTATCTTGTTCTAGGGCTTTTCAGACTCCTTTGTTATTTATCAACACACAAAAATTACTTTAAAAATTGGGAATAGCTTTTTTAATCTAAATATTTTTTTTTCTTTTTGTTTTTTAAAATAAGAAGACGAGCATTGTGAGAGTACAATTAATTATTGTTTAAAAATAATTATTCATTTCTGACCACTGCCTCACAAATGCAATTGATTGAATTTTATACCCATTAAATGTATACAGTTAATGTAGGCCTAGTTTTTAAGAGTTGATGAAAACATTAGATGTGTCTAGAGAGGTTTGTGTTAGGCTAAAACGTTTCCATTCTACTATAAGGTTTGTGTTAGCCTAAAACCTTTCCTTTCTACAGCTGAACAGATTGAATGAACTGGAGGACACCATGGCAGAACAGGAAAACACAATCTCAGCCCTGCATGAAAAACTCAAACAAAGGGAGGCAGAAATCTTAAAACTACAAGCCAGTCTTCAGATCTCCAACAAGAACATTAAATCAGAGAAAAACAGGTCAGGCTTTCATTCTTATCCACCATTTTCCATTAACTTTGGTTTTTTTTGTTTTTTTTTTACAAATTAACACCTTTACTTCATTGACTTGTGTTCTTTATCAGTTTCAAAATAAATATATTTAGAGGAAAAAGATTTGTAACCATATTTTAAAAATTAGCATTGTTTAGGTCTAATTTTAATTTTAGTTTTGTTAAAGATATAGCCTTTATTTGTAAAATTTTAAATTGGTTTGTTAAATGCAATACCTTTTTTGTATACAAGTTAATGTTATTAAATGTCTGTTTTGTTTTGTACAGACTGACAGAGCAGCAGAGTGAGATAATTGGGAAGAAGGACAGTGAGATGGAGGCTGTACAGAGGGAGAACATGGACCTAAGGAAGGAGATGAAGCTGCTGCAGGAAGAGGTTGAAGCCCTCAAAGATTCCAACCAGAGGGGACCAACTGCCACCATGAAGAACATGGTGGAGAGGCTGAAGAACCAGCTGGCCCTGAAGGAGAAGCAGCACCAGGTATGTCTTCACAACATCACAACAGAGAGACCAGTTTGATGGCAGTCAGTTTGGGTAGACTTGCTTGATGGCATTCAGTTTGGTTTTGAAATGTTTTGTAATAGCTCTTATTTTCCTCAACAATTCTGAGTGTAGTTTATGTGTATGAAGCTTTGTTTTACATGCCATCTATCCATGAATACAGTTTAGCCTTGCATGATGTAACAGTTACAATTGTCCACCATCAGGCCCTTAGCAAAGCACTAAGTGACCTGCGTGCAGACATGGTGACCCAAGCACAAGAGAATATCCAGGTCCATGCCCAAGAGTCAGCGCAGGAGAAAAACATACAGAAAATCATCAATGAACACACCAAGGAAATCTCTGTGGGTCTTACATTTGTTTTGTTTCGTAGCTTTGAAAATGCTGTTGTGGTAGATTTTTTATTAACTCAAACTTATATTTAAATTTTAATTATTGTAAATAAAGAATAAAAGCAAAATTGTTAACATAAGTACTGCTTTAGTGCTGTTTCTTAATCTACAGTGATTTTTTTCTTAAACATAATATTCTTATGGTTATTTTTTTTTTTAATGTATAGTAGTAGTATTCTATATAAGTTTTGTCAGAATATTGTGACAGTCTTGCTTGTGAACTTTGTCAGCATATTTTGACAGTCTATATTAAGGATTTTGTCATTGTGATTAGCCTTTTGTTTTTTTACCTCAGGAACAACTTGAGGAGCAAATGAATTTAGCCGACAGACTGAAGAAAGAACTGAAGAAGAAAAAAGATGAAGAGAGTATTTTACAAACAGAGCTGGAAGACGTGAAAGAGGAGCTGAGTAAGTTTTGTTTCACATGCCAGATACATTTTTATATTAATCAACCAAAAATTATTATTTGAACTCTTAAAAAACGTCAATGATTTTAAATTTGTGCTGAGGATGATCTGTATTCCCTTTTTTAACAGACAAGAAGGAAAGGTCAATAAACAAGTTGAAGGCAACCAAATCACGGCTTGAGACAGAGGTGGATGAGATGGAGAAAAGGTTGGAGAGGATAACGGCAGCTCGTTCCTTGGTGAGTGCAAACATTGGTCACCTCACAGCTGGGTGTAGGAGGACATTGGTCACCTCACAGCTGGGTGAAGGAGGACATTGGTCACCTCACAGCTGGGTGAAGGAGGACATTGGTCACCTCACAGCTGGGTGTAGGAGGACATTGGTCACCTCACAGCTGGGTGTAGGAGAACATTGGTCACCTCACAGCTGGGTGAAGGAGGACATTGGTCACCTCACAGCTGGGTGAAGGAGGACATTCGTCACCTCACAGCTGGGCAAAGGAGGACATTCGTCACCTCACAGCTGGGCAAAGGAGAACATTGGTCACCTCACAGCTGGGTGTAGGAGGAGATTGGTCACCTCACAGCTGGGTGTAGGAGGAGATTCAATTTGTCTTTCTTTATTTTTGAATTGCTAAAAAACAAGTTTCTATCGTCAATAACTTCAATAATAAAAAAAAAACAATTATTTTTTAATATCATATGATTTCTCTCTTTCATTATCTAATAAACGCCTCAAATGACATATTTTATCTCTTGATTAGTAATTACATAATTTTGTTATTCAGCTAACACTTTCTGCTTTTTATTTTTCTGCATCTACCATTGTTCAATAGTTATGTTCATGTAAACTTAACTTGAACAAAAGCTTTGTCAGTTGTTGATCTTGTTGATTGTACAATTGGTCAGTTGTTGATCTTGTTGATGGTACAATTGGTCAGTTGTTTATCTTGTTGATGTTACAATTGGTCAATTGTTGATGGTACAATTGGTCAGTTGTTGATGGTACAATTGGTCAACTGTTGATCTTGTTGATAACACAATTCCAGAAAGCTGGAGAGTTTGAGAAGCAGCAGGAGCTGGATGACATGCGACGCAAGTGTCGGGCCTTAGAGGAGCAGTTGTCACGACAACTTGCGGCTGAGAAACCTTATGAGCAGAAGGAAGAAAAGACTAAAGTAAGAAACTCATCCTTAGTTTTGTGCTTATATTTTTTGCTCAAGAAACCTTATGAGCAGAAGGAAGAAAAGACTAAAGTAAGAAACTCATCCTTAGTTTTGTGATTATTATTTTTTGCTCGTGAAACCTTATGAGCAGAAGGAAGAAAAGACTAAAGTAAGAAACTCATCCTTAGTTTTGTGATTATTATTTTTTGCTCGTGAAACCTTATGAGCAGAAGGAAGAAAAGACTAAAGTAAGAAACTCAACCTTAGTTGTGTGAATATTGTTTTTTGCTTAAATAAAGATTGTCAATTTCTTTTATTTTTTTTAATTTCATTTTTAAAATTAATTTAATGCTGTGTCATTATTAAACTTTAAATTTGGAGATCTGTTTGTTTTTACATTAATCTTAGATTTTTATTTTGTTATATTAATCAATTAGGGCCTATATAATAAAATAAAAAGTAATCAGAATTTTCAAATTAAGGTGTAAGATTAATAGCCAATAATTAGTAGATTAAACATTTTTATGAATGTAAGAATTTGTGTACACATCATTTACTGAAGTTTTGATAAGAATATAGTATTCCAACGTTTAACCAATTCTTCATAAACAAATGCTAGGCCTACATAATACCTCTAGAAAAATAATTATTATTGTGCTTAAATAAGTAGAATATTTCAGCTCATTGTAATTAATTTAATAAGAATAAACATAAGTATGGTGCTTAAAATGTGACTTTTTCAAGTACTTGGAAAATACAATTGTTTCAGTGCATTGTTAAATTATTTTACACTTTATTTCTGAAACTCTTACAAGTAGGCCTCCATGGAAAGTGTATGAAAGTGTTATTTTACCTTTAATTTCTTGTCCATCCAGCAAGAAGACACCATCAGATGGGAGGAGAGCAAAAAGTGGCAGAGGACAATAGAAAAAATGAAGATGAAAATTAAGGAAAAGGATGCAGAGATAGAGAAGTTGAATGCAACCATTAGCAGACTTCAGGCAGTTCTAGAAAAGTAGGTACCTGGTTTGTGTGGTGAAGTGGTTTTTGTTCTTGTAAAACTAGGAATTGTTTTGCCAACATGACAGACTGGGATTATATAATGATGTCTATCCCATAATCATAATTAAACCATGAAAATTTCTATTGATTTAATATTAAGAGCCACTTATGACAAATCTTTTGCTATTCTAGTTGAACATTATTATTTTTGTAGTCTTGTATATTAGATACTAGTTAGGCCTACTTAATTTTTATAGTCTCATATTCGTGGTACTTTTTAATTAGTTTTTGTTGTGTCATATTTTGGGTACTTCCACATGAACTGTTTAGTATCACTTACTTTTTAGCACTCCTTCCTACTAAAAAAAATATAAGTGTTATGTCCCTTGTAAAAAGCAGTATTGGCATATTGATTTATTGATTGGAAATATTGATTGCTCCTTGAAGTTCAAGGTCATGTAAATGTAGTGTCAGTTAAAATACCTGTCAAAGCATGTAGGTGTGTAAAGGTTGCTGTGTGTAAAACTTGTAGCCACTTGTGTTGTGTAGATTGGCTCATGTGGATAGAGGTACAGGTGTGTAAAGGTTGCTGTGTGTAAAACTTGTAGCCACTTGTGTTGTGTAGATTGGCTGTGTATTGTAAGCTCATGTGGATAGAGGTACAGGTGTGTTTAGTGAGATTAGTTCTTGCAGTTTAGTTAATCCCTTGTTAGTCATTTCTGTGTTATCTTGATTTTAAAAAAAAAACAGGATCCACACATTTTCTAGCTGTTTTGATGCAGCTATTTTACACCACTCTGTGTTTAATTTTAAAATGTGTTAGACTATTACTAACCTTCTACTGACGTAAACATTATACAGACTTAAACCTTCTACTGACACTAACTTTCTACTGACACTAATCTTCTACTCATTCATGCAACAAACTTTTTACAGCAGAAAAGTCAATCACTGTCTCTGAACTCACACCAAGTTTTAATTAAATTAACCACTACATTTATTCTGTGACTTTACATACAAAGCTAACCATACTAGATTCTTTCCTCTGTTTGTGAGACTTGTTCCTGCTACACATGCCTCAGTTAAACATCTATTCTGCTATGGCAGAAAATTCTGATTTCCCCAACTACTTGTTATTTGTAGAAAGACATTTCTTTCAAATATTTCCAATTATCTACACTTTGTGTATGACTATCTTTTATATAATGTAGTTTTACAACCTTGCTTTTTCTGTTGATTCTGCACATATGTTACAAGAGTATATCTTATTCAGTTTAGTTAACTTTGATGTTTGATCCCACAATTAATTTTATTGGTACTCACCTTATAAACTTGATTCAACAGAAGCAACCGTGAGAAGGAGATCCAGGCTCGTCCATTACAAAAAACATCAGCCCACTCGCTGGGCGCCGCACCCCCCAGTACTAAACTTGACCATGAAAGGGAAGATCTTAAAGCAACACTCTACAAGCAGCAGGAAGAAGTTGGTGCAATTTTATTCTTGTTGGTTTTGTTTCCTTTAAACAACTTATTTTATGAGGCTGTGGATTTAGAGCTCTGTGGCATGGTTCTCACCAAGCCCCCTTGCACTGAGCACCCTCTATCTGAGCACTGCCATATTAAACTCCCCTCAAATAGCATTTCCTTAACAAACACCCCTTCATTCAACCTCCTGTAACAGCAATGTTTCAGTAAATTCTTATTTCCATCAACTAACCAACTTTTGTATTCTGGCTGTAGATCAGTGCCTTGAAGCGTCAGGCCATGATGAGCCAGGACGCCGCCATGGCAGAGGTCCAGATGAGGAACCAGCACCTGAGGGAACAGCTGGAGCAGATGGAGAGGGTCATGGCTGTCAGACCACCTGTAAGGCAATAACAAGACATGTCTGACACACTTTACAAGACGTTTCTTTGACACACTTGACAAGGCACCTGTCTCTCTGACTCAATTAGTTTCATTATGCAACATTTATTCTCCACCTTTGCGACCTGCTTTTGCTTCTGTTTTATTTCATTGCTATAAATATCAGAAAATTCTAAAACTTCTCATTGGTACTCCAACCCTCATTATAATTAATTTTTTCCCTTACTTAATGTGTCTGATGCCAGTGATAAATGATGTACCTATCTGTAACAGGACTCTGGTGTGTCAGCTCTGGAATACCAGAAACTGTTCAGTAAAAACCAGGAACTGCAGCGGGAAGTTCTCAGGTTGTCTGAGGAGAATATGGAGCTGAGGTTTGAAGTGGAGGCCTCACGCAAGGATATTCCAAGACTCAAGGTTTGTTGCTCGCATTAGCAAACTGGTGGGGGGGGGGGGGGGAGGGATCTTAATTCAATGAAATAATATTGTAGTATAAAAAGTCCATCTGCAGTGTAATTGAGCATTCTCTTATTAAAACAGGAAAGAATTGAAGACTTACAGAGCTATGTGGAAGCCCTGAAATTTGAAAATGGCCAGCTAGCTGGAGACTCAGCTAGATCAAGTTTGTCCAGTATCAAAAGGGTTTGTGACCTTTTCATTCATTCTAGCTTAGATTTATTTTTAATTTCATTTTAATGGTTTGATGTGTATTTAGTTTAAAGTAAAGGTTAAACATCATGTATAAGCAAAGTTATAAAAGTTGAAGATGTAATTCTCCCTCCTGCTAAGTTATTAAAGTTGAAGGTGTAATTCTCCATCCTGCTAAGTTATAAAAGTTGAAAATGTAATTCTCCCTCCTGCTAAGTTATAAAAGTTGAAGATGTAATTCTCCCTTCTGCTCTCAGATTGGGGAGAGTGGCAAGAGCCAGAGAGAGCTGGAGAAGACGATAGCTCTGCTCAAGAAGGTGGTGGAGAGGGTGCAAGCAGAGAACACAGCCCTGAAGAAAGCTCCAGGTGTTGTCTCGCATGAGCAGCTCACCTTACTCAAGCGAGAGAATGATGGCCTGAAGGTACACATCACCGTACACCTTGTACACATGTAATGGCATTCACAGATATACACTTTCTGTTGAAACCTGTCATTCTCAGTTGTCCATCGTCTGTTGTACTTTAATGTTATTCATACTTGTACACTTTCTGTTGTTCCCTAATGTCATTTACAGCTATGTATTGTTAGCTGTAACCTGATGTTATTCACATATGTAAATCACCAATGTCATTTACTGTTAGTAAAAATAAAAGAATTTCTTGGTTGTTTTTTTAGAATCAGCTGGAGGAGCTGAGACAGACCATGGGCTTAGAACTTAGTGACAGATACACTGCCCAACAAAAGAGCACAGCCAAGCTGGTAGCTGATTTTGATAAGATGAGAAAAGATCTGGCCAAGGTAAAAACATCATCTATTTATCCCTTGCACCATGATGTTCAAATAAAACAGATGAAAATGTCGCTAGTTATGTGGACAGTTAGCTGATGGCTAGTAAAACTAAGATCATATGACTTTTTCTCTCTACAGGAGAGAGATGACAATGAAAAATTGAGGATGAAAATCAGATCCCTAGAGGTGCAGGGGGAACACCAGGACAAAGAGCTGAGGAGCACCAAAAGCAAGCTGGAGGTTGAGGCAGCCAAGAAGCCAAGTCTAGCCTCACTGGATTCTCAGGGCTGGAAGTCTGCAGTACAGACCAGGATGTACGAGGAGAAGATCAAAAGTATGGACGCTGATGTGGACAAAAAGGTAATTATCTATTGAAATCAAAACTATGGAAGCACATATGGACAAAAAGGTAATTATCTATTGAAATCAAAACTATGGAAGCACATATGGACAAAAAGGTAATTATCTATTGAAATCAAAACTATGGAACCACATATGGACAAAAAGGGAATTTCCTATTGAAATCAAAACTATGGAAGCACATATGGACAAAAAGGTAATTATCTATTGAAATCAAAACTATGGAAGCTGATGTTTAAGCATACAATGTTCAATATTTGCACTGCACAACTTTGTCTCAAATGAGTCTGTAATTTGTTCTGTACTTTGTCTGTAATTTGTTCTGTATTTTTTCCCCCAGACCAAACAGCTACAGGACAGCAAAGTTTTACTGAGAGATGCAGCAGAGAGAGAACAACAGCTGATGAGAGAGAAGGATGAGCTCCTGCAGAAGGTTTGATCAGTTTTCTTATACCCTTACTTCTGATGTTTAACTGGTGTATGCTAAAACTATGCAAGGTTTGATCAGTTTTCTTATACCCTTACTTCTGATGTTTAACTGGTGTATGCTAAAACTATGCAAGGTTTGATCAGTTTTCTTATACCCTTACTTCTGATGTTTAACTGGTGTATGCTAAAACTATGCAAGAAGGTTTGATCAGTTTTCTTACACCCTTACTTCTGATGTTTAACTGGTGTATGCTAAAACTCTGCAAGAAGGTTTGATCACTTTCCTTATGTTTAACTGGTGTATGCTAAAACTTGGCAAGACAATCTGTTTTTGTTTGGATGTGCAGATCTCAATACTGGAGAGGTTTCCAGCTGGCAGTGGCGCTGTGGACAGCAACTTCATGAAAGATTATCAACAAAGCAGGTATGTGGACATCACTTGCTTTATATTATAGAAAAAAATTTATGACTAACCTAATTTGTTTTATTTCGTGAAGAGTTCTGTGTGTTTCAAAAATTCTTGCTGTAAATGTTTTTGATACGTTTTAGAGTTCTCATACAATAGTTGGGAAATTGTCTTTAATTTTTTTTGCTACTATAGGCTAGATGTTAATTGTAGGCCTACTTGTCTTAGAGTTTGTATTGAACTCTTGGAAAAAAGTTTTGTTACTGTATATTTTGAATGTACATGTTTTAGGGTTTGCATTGAACGGCTTGAAAATGACAAGAAAGAACTTTTGAATGAACTACGTATTGCTAGACAGCAGACGTCACCAGGGTCAGGAGACACCTCACAGGTTGGATTTATATTTCATTTTTCTTTGTAATATGATATTGTAACTCTCTGATGCAAAAGTTAAATCTAATATTCTTATTTTCAAAATAATAATTTAATAAATATTTATATTTTTTTTTATTGTTAAAGATCAGCATGATCTTTTAAAAAAATGTTTTTATTGGTGTTATACTGTCTAGACTATATAACCTGGTATATTTTTTAATTAATGATGGCACAGATAACAGATGACATTCTAACTAAGGCCAGTAGCTATGACAAGCTTGCAAGAGAAAATATTGACATTCATATGCAGCTAAAAACTGTAGAGTTGGATAAAGAAAAATTAAAAAGAGAAGTTGAAAAAGTGAGATATATATTTTAAAATTATTTCCTGATTTGTAGAATTAATACAATGTTGCTATGATGAGATTAACAGATAAGGTTAATCTAGTTTGGTTTTTTATACCTAGAGTAATATATGTTGACCACTAATGATGCTGTTGAAAATTAATTAGTTTCTATGCCATGTAAAAAGTGATAAGATAATTGAAATCAGTCATTCATGTGATCATGGCAGCTCATTTCAAAACCACACAGTATTTATTAAATCAATACTTCAGAAACAAATTAGAAGACCTTAGTGCTAAAAGTACTTAAGTCACAAAAACAACATTTTGAGAAAAATGAGTTCAAAGATTAAAATTTACTATGAAACATTACGTTTTTATATTATTTGTTTGTTTGGAAGAGCAAATTAAATAAATTCTTCAGTATCACTATTTGTTTATAAGATAAAGTTAAACTAGAGGAATAACGATCAATGCTTGGTTTGATTTTCACAAAAATGTGACTTAAGTACTTTTAGCACTGGGCTCTTCTTTCATGGTTTCACTGTTACATTTTTTTTTATCTTAGTTAAAAAAAGAACTGAACAATTTTGGTCCAGAATTTTTTGATGAAATCGAAGACCTCAAGTATAACTACAAACAAAGTGTACAGAAGAATATTTTAATGGAGGAGAAACTCAAGCAAGTAGCGCAGCAATTTGGTGTGTCCATCAACATTCCTGATGTATTATAATACAATAATTTGATAAACATAACATATTGGCGCTTGAATTTTATTACTGTTAGACTTATTGTATCCATATGCCAGCATTTTATTTCCATTTCTAGTTTACGTATATTATATTTTATATTTGGTTTACTTTTTTCATCTATCAGTTTGCTGTTTCTTATTGAGACTGGCTTTGTTTTCTCTCATAGTTAATTCCTTTGTCTAAATAGTTTTGTTTTTTGCCTACAACTGCCATTATTGTCAGTCATTTTCAAAGGCTATGATGTACATATAGTTTCATTCTTTAGACCCCCTTGGAGATGTTCATGTTTATTATATTGTTAAAACGCCATTAACTGATTGTTGTTTTTTTTTATATTAATCAAATAGAATCCATTGTTTAAATAGTTACTGTTAAAATGTCTGATGATATTCACAAAATTCTGTGAAAGTAGTCTGTGATATATTTCATGCATTATTTGTATTGTAATTACTATAAAATGTTTGAAATATTTAATATTATTGCCTTGAGATAAGATATAAATGCATAGACATACCAATAGGAATAGTCACGAAGCTACCGTTTTAATCTAGTCTATTTTATTTGATATACAATATATTCATTCACTGTTCAATAGTTACTACTGCTTCTAGTTTTCCTTTTTGAAGGACATAAAAGAAAAATATTTTTTATGTAAATCTTTTCTCACTTGCCCACTTGATGTATTGTTCAGATTCACTTTCATTCTGTCTGTGTTTGGCTTGTTCAGTAAACATGTGGCTTATGTGACTATTTAAATGGCTATGTATAAAGAAAAACATAATACTTTATCAAAATTTATAATGCAACAAATTTTCTGACCATGAGAGTTAAGATTACCTTTAAATTTTTTAATCATTTCACAAAAATCACATGTAACATTATGCCAAAGTATATACTTTTCTTTGGACCATCAGCTTTCTACTAAGTTCAATTAACTTTTTGGGTAATGTTCAAACTGATTTATTATTAATAACATTATACTGTTGAGAGAACAGTGTTTAAAATTTTACTTTTCATATTGGATTTGTTTACCTTCATTTTCTAACAACTTATTAGCCATATTTTTTTTCAAAATATCTGTTAAATTACAGTTGCGCTGTTCAATTCTCATAACACTTGAAAAATCCGTCCAAAACATTTACCTCTAATTCTTTTATCAGTTTGAAAAGATTACATAAACCATTTCCATGCAATTATAATCTATTTCATTGTCTGTAGTAGATTTTAAATCATTTGTCCACAATATTCTGAAATAAATAATTTTTGACACTTTATTTCCTAGTTTTTTCACTATATGAAGTTACTGCTGCAGTTGTGGTTAAAAAATGGGTTTTCCTAATTATAATATTTTAAGCTTTAATAATTTGAACATCAAATGAAGGGCGACACTTATAACATAAGACAAGTAAATTTTTATAATTTAATATCAAACGTACAAATGAAAGATTCAAAGCTTAATTTCATTCCTGTCATACAGATCTTATTTTAGTATGACAAGCTTCAGTAGAACAGCCCCCAAATTCAATTTCAAAGATGAAAGCAGGAACACAGAATATAGAAAAACACTGGTGATAAAGTATATCTATATATTTCCAATTATTAATTCCTTGCATTTTTTTTTCAAGTTGTAGAAAATTGTATGATCAGTTTTTCTTTTCACCATGAAATAAGCAAATTAAAAAGAGACTGGCAGTTAGCACACTCATATTATAAATAATTGATAGCAACTAAATAACTCAGTCAAACCTTTTTTCATTCTTGTACAAACGTAAGGAAAAAAAAAGAAAATTTTTATAATTATAATCAATAAAATAAGCACAGTAGAAACTGTCAGATATTCAAATGTAATCAAAGTTCAATGTAAAATCTGAGGAAAAAACTTTGCCAATTTTAGATTAACCATTAATGTCCCGTAACGCCCGCTGCCGCCCGACACCGTTAATGTCCCGTAACGCCCGCTGCCGCCCGCTTACAATACGCATAGAAAAATTAAATTTGTTTCATTAAAATTTGGCCTACAAATCCTAATTTTTAACTAAACAGGAAGTCGGATGATTTCAGCATCCTTTTCCTGTCTTCTAATTTCAATGGCGCTTTTGAAAGATAAAAAAATAATAGTTTCTTTCTATCTCGAAATTTGCGACTCATCTGTCGTATTTTTAGTAGATTTAATATTAAAAATAAAAAAAATTAATGCCTCTAAACGTATCTAGGCATGTATTTTATGAATTATATATGTTAAACATAACCAAATTGATATTTAACTGTTAAATTCGATGCATAGTTGTTTAGACAAAAATAAATAAAGTTGACTACCGAAAATGACCTGTTTTGAATTTTCTCCGACATTTTTTATTTTTATACTGTACTTTTACCGAATATAATATATTCTATTTAATACTGTTGGAAAGCCAGGTTTATTCCCAACATTAAGCAGTAGTTTTTATCTTAATTTTCAATTTCATTTAGACAAAAACAAATATTTTGTGAAACTATTCACTTGATCATACAGAGTTATGCTCCTTACATTGGGCCATCATGGGTGGAGTTTTGGTAGAATGAATGGGACATTAATGGTTAACAGATTAAGTTATTTAGGCATTTCTTTAAATAAGAACTAAACAATCACATTTGTTCTTAGCACATGAATACACACACCAAGCCATTTGCACAAACAATACAAAATAATTAGTGGTGTCTGTGATCTGGTGCACGTTGGCGAGGTGCAGCCTTGATGATATTGTCCACCCTCATGATCATTTCAGCAGCCTCTGCTCCTGACATTAAAACCTGTCTCTTAACTTGATAGGATTCTGTGATACCAAGCTCTGCTACATCAGCTATTCTACCACGTTCCATGTCTGAAATGTTTTAATTAACCATTTTAAATTTACTTTAAAATCAGTCTTTTTTTTTTAAAAGGGGTAATGAGAATGAAAGTCCAACTTACCGAGTCCAATAGTGTGTTTGCCATTTGTGTGTGCAGCTCTTAACTGTGATATCAGATCTGCACTATCATAGCCTCCATTATCTGCAATGATAGTTGGTAGCTGAAAGCAAAAAAGATTAATCAAGCGTTGATATTATCGTACTTCACATTTATTTATACATGGCACTTTATTTATTGTGTGAAATAGCACAAACAAGAAAATTATAAGTTACCTAACCAGAAAAATAATGCATGGCCAGTAATTAAAAAAGGGAGTTTTACTCCTCTTAATGCTAAAGATAGTATGTACTTACTTGTCGTAGGGCTTTGGCAAATGCTTCCATCGCTACAGCTTCTTTTCCTGGTGTTTTAGCTGCTAACTTACTAACTGCATCAGCCATTAACATCTCAGAGCAACCTGATGGTAAAGCATGTTTAGATCAGTTTTAACTATTTCAAAAATGAATATTATTTTTTTTACAAAATCTTTTTAAAAAATTAAATTAGGATAACCTAAATAAATTTACCTCCACCATAAACTGTTCGGGTTTCCTTCACAGTTTGTGACAGCACACAAAGAGCATCATGAAGTGATCTCTCAGCTTCATCAAGAATTTGTTGAGTAGCACCACGTAAAACAATTGTGCAAGCCTCCCCTAATGCCACGCCTGGCAAATGAAATAAATAGTGTAAGAAATTTGGTCTTTCATAAAAAATGGTATAGTTTCTCTTAAGATAAATTACAAAACTCACCAGAAAATTTAAGTAACTTGTCTTCTCCAATCATTACTTCTTCAATAAGATCACAAGTACCAAGTTTGGCTTTTTCCGGACAATCAAAGGTTGAAACTATCTCACCACCTAAAATTAAAAATATGTTAGCCAGGTTAATTTTAAGGCTGATCTGTTTCACTGTTTATTTCATGAGATCAATGTTTACTTTTAATTATATTACCTGCCATTAATTATTTAATTAGACCAATATGTTAAAAATTATATACCTTACCTGTCACTAGAGCAAGTCTTTCAACACCTTCAAAATCTGCATGCTCAATGGAAATGACACCAGCATCAGAAAACAGTTGCTCAGGATAATTGTAAATGAGTTGCCTTGAAATAGTAAAATAGCCACTTATTACATTAGTTTAATCATGAATTATATAAATCTATTCCTACAAGGAGCTAATTTTCAAACTGACTGATATATTATAGAATTTTTTTTTTAAATGGTCACTTTACTACCTGTTGATGAATACATTGCATCCATGCTTAAGAATTTTTTCAACCTTGGCCTTCATCTTTTCCTTTTCTGCCAACTCAAGTTGAGCTACTTTAGAAACAGCATCCACCCTAACTCTTGATCCAAAGACCTAGTGGTAGATCAATGCAATAGAATGTTTAATCATGTCTTAAGAAGTGTACAGTTGTGTAAGTAACTGATTAATAATGAAAAGACATGCACTAGAGTGTATTTCTTCAGACATTAGAACCTGAGATAAATTACCTTTATCTTGTCTGTGTCCATAGGTGTGTTAGCTATTAAAATTTTGGCATTCTCCAGACGTTTAGGCTGGTTAACTCCAATCTTCTTGTCCAGCAGGAAACCTACATAAAATATTCAGATCATTCAATTAATCGGAACAAAATTTTAGGAATACATTTGTAAGTACTGACCAATGATATGGTTCAATGTATTTTAATAACAGTGACATTAGTTAGCCCTTACCTTGATCAAGATAGGAATCTGATAGATTTCCACCCAACTTTTTAATAATTTGAATAGCATCAAGATTACCACTGTTCTGTTTAAACAAACGAGACGAAAATTATTTTTACAAAATAAAAAAAAAGTTAAGAAAGTGCAATAGTTGACCAACTAAAAATACCCTCCAACCAAACACAATCAAAAGTTACCTTTAATCTCAACACAGAATCTACTGCCAACTTTGAAAACATATCTTTATGCTGGGTTAAGATTTTGGAGCTCAGTGTTGTTCTAGCTATGTTCATCAAATCTTCACGAAATTTAACAGCATCTTTTCTAAGATACAAATTTTAAAATCTTGTTAGTCAGAATTGGCTACCCGTAAGAATAATTTTTTCTTTAATTCAAAAGGAAAGATGTTTAATACTAACCCATTATCATTAGCATGATCAGTTAAAGCTTTTCTTGCTACATCCACAGATTTTCTCCATCCAGAGATAACAGTTTGTGGATGAATTTTTTGGGAAATTAAATTTTCAGCTTCCTGAAAAATAAGTGATTGCAAAATTAATAATCATTAAGTAAGGTGCATTGTTGTTTATAACAAAAAATCAGAAACCAATGAACCATGTCCCTAAATATCACCCGTTTTTGTGACCTAGGGAAATGAAAGGATAAGTGGTCAGCACTATGCCCAGAATTTATACTTTCCATAGCTCTCTACCACTAGGCCACTCCCCCCATAAAATAAAGCATTCTAATATCAAATACCTTCAAAAGTTCACATGCTAACACAACAACAGATGTTGTTCCATCACCAACTTCATCATCTTGAACTTTTGAGATATCTGTAATTTTTAAATGATTCAGGAATGAAATTACAAAAACATTTGTACAATAAAATAAAAGCAGAAAACAATATAAAGATAAGTTAAAATTCTTCCCAACTACACAACACCTTACACAAAAGTCAGTTCAGTCTAAATGCAAGACTAAGAATACTAACCAACTAGCACTTTGGCAGCTGGGTTATCTACTCCAATAGATTTTAGTATAGTGGCCCCATCGTTAGTTACTTGAATAGTCTCATTGTTGGAGCTTGTTTGCAATATCTTGTCCTAAAAACAGCAAGGTTTTTTTTTATCCAGGTAACTGCAGTAACTAAATATCAACTTGGTGGTTATCAGTATGCTAAAATAAGTATAATGTTCTAATTTGAAAATACAATGCTTACCATTCCTTTTGGTCCTAAAGTGCTTTTGACTAAATCTCCAATAGCTATGGCACCAACAAATGATGACTAGAGGGTAGAAATGGTTAAAAATACATTTTAAAAGCTGTTCAAAAGATTTTTTATAAATAGTTTGACTATATATGTATATTATGTGTGTGTGTGTGGTAAAAGTGTGTGTGTGTATATGTGTATAGTGTGTGTGTGTGTATATAGCCTATATATAAAGGCATAATGACAAAGTAATACCATTCTTGCTGTCTCTGATTTCTCCTCCTCTGCTCCATACCTCAAGATCTGCACTGGATTTAGTGAAACCTGTAAAAAAAAATAATGGTTAGCAATATTTTCCTGTTACTAAGTACTACACATTTTATGCACCCAAACAGCAAATAACTAAGGAGTTTTACAGGGGTTTTTATTTTTATGGGGGATAAAAATAATTTCCTATGAAAAGTTTTTAAGTGATTAAAAAACCTGAGCTTGTTTGTAATATTATATTAAAATTACAGGATGCACGGATTTAAGTGAATCTTGAAATTCAATTATTTAAAATTCATTGGATCACTGATTGCAATTTTTTTTACCAGTTTAGGATTTTTTCCCATTTTCATGAGGTTTACATGAATATTAAAGACTATTTAAAAACGATTTGCCTAGATTTATTGTTAGAGTGGTTGTAACACGCTTTTTTTTAAAAAAAAAAGTTGGGGGGGGGGGGGTTAGAAAAGAACCCCAACTCAATCTATTTCATGTTATTTCTAATAGAAAAATGTAAGTGATTAGGCCCTGACGAATAGCAGTAACCAAATTTCAGTAGGCACAGGCTAACAGCCTTTTATTTTGTTAAACTTACACTACTTCACTGCTTTTGACTACATTAATCACTTTAAAACCTCTTTCAGCTTCTTAATAGCCAACATGTCTCTAAAGACGATTTAGGTTTTTAAACTATTTATCATCGCCTCAGAATATTAACATTAGTGTTATTAGAATAAAAAATGCCAGGACATGTCTGTAGAATATTAACATTAGTGTTAATAGAATAAAGAATGCCAGGACATGTCTGTGCTTGCGTGGTCATGAACTTAACACATCTAGATCTACCTAAGTCTCACTGTGAGTGCAACCTTGAGTAGCAGGCAAAACTGAGTAAAATAAATGCTAATGAGAACTGTGTACATCTTGGAAGATTTATGGGTGGATTTTTTATACCAGTGTCCGATAATAGCACATAGTATCTTCTTTCAAAAAGGTTGTTAGTTGTTAGGTTTGTGGTAGTTAAATACACATGACTTGCAAATGGCTAATGTCAATGTTAACCCTAGTCCTACCATACAGCTAACCGTAATTTCAAACCTTAAAACTGCTCTTGAGAGTAGAAGATTACTGACAACCTAACACAAAGAATATAGGCGAACATCTGTATCCAGTATTCTCAATCATCATATTTCTGTTTCATACATTGAATGGTTCTCAATTTTCATAACCGTTAGAACCCACATTATGGCTATTTTTGTCCAAGTCATGAATCTCCATGCCCTGACAGACCGATTAAACGGTCTGAGTCACCTTACCCCAGATCGACTGTGTATATAAAAACGCTAAATTTTAAAAGTATGTAGGCTAACAAGTACTAACACGACTTCAAGTTCCTGTCATCGATGCCCCACAAACTAAATTTTGTGTTCTGTTTTTTAATTGCATTTTACCATAAGACCTTAAAAAATTCCAACAATCTGCATTTCTATCAATGTCCGCACCCTACCTAAGTCTGAGCGAAGGGTCTATCTACTAAAAGGACTGCCATACTAAGTCCAAGTATTGGTGACAATTCATGTAAGCTACACGTTAATTAAATTAACTTTTTTTAAAATTGAGTCTTTTGTGTGTACATTGAGCTCAGGTGTTCAGTGGCAAGGGGTTTTAGGGTCAGGAGCTAGATATCTAGATCTATAGGTTCAAATGTTTTATTATTAATGTAATGTGATTTTAATTTCAAACTAAATCAAACTGTCAAACAGCAACAATGTAGATTATGAGCCATAGGCAGGATTTTTATGCAATGACAATCGATAAAACTGGTTGGTTAATTTCAATTAATTTTAAGTTAGATTAGAATTAGATCTAGAAAAAGATCTACTTCTAGATCCTAGAACGTAGATCTCGATTCTAGACCTAGAAATCTAGATATTGATTCTAGATCTATAGTTTAGAATAGATGTCTCTAAAAGAAAGAATGTGGAATACCGATTGTCGGATTGTGGATACCGGCAATTTCAGTGACTCGGTATGCGTAAGAAAACAGCTAAATAATGACTAGTCTAGATCTAGAAGGTAGAGAATCTAGATCATTCGATAGGTAGAGTGAAAAGAAACAACTAAAAAGATCAAATGGTTTTTCAAAACTAAACATTCTGTAGCTTAAAAAGTATGTTACCATGGTTAAAGATTAATATTCGGATTTCTCACGTTGCTTTTATCGTTGCTGTAAACTGCACAAGCAACGCTCATCCGGGCGGTATCGACTCGTAACGACTAAAGAATCAATACTAGTAGTCATATTGTACTACTAACAATTCATTAAGTGCATTAATAAAATATTCATAAATGTATTCTTATATTTGAATCTACATAAATCAACAGCAATATTTGGAGGGAAAATATGTACAATATTTGACTTTGCATAAAATATCTCTAATATACTATCTGAAGTATCGATTCTCATGTTTTGATTATAAAAATAATTGAGCCCACAATACTGGAATGTTCTATATTTGACAGGTCTATAGATATGGGGGGACGTTCTATTTCCGGATGTTTTGCTAGATAGGCTAAGTTAACCTAACCTTGAAATTTTTATAGATCTGGTCTTGAAAATATTATTTTTATACTTTAGTCTAAGTCAAATCATACAAAATTAATGAATGTCGAACACATAACGGCATGGAAAACATAAAAGCGAAATTGGGTATGCACACACCCAGAATGTTACTCGCAATTTTTATTAAATATAAAACAAAAAAACGAATGATTACAAAAATTGACTAATTATGTAGATCTAGATCTATCTAGGTCTAGATCTATATAGCTAAAGGTCGTAAAAACTGTTCTTATTCGCCTTTCTCTTTATTAACCTGACCTAAACAAATAATATATAGATCTATAAGCGGCGTAACCACTCAATTTTGTGGTCACATTTTGTGAACACTCAGGGGTAATCTTAAGTTGAACGCGATACTAGCGATAAAGCCGATATTTATCTTTCTTACATTTTATACTTGTCTAACATTAAATTCTTAAAATATCCATTTTGTTTTGCTATCGAAAATCATATAAGCAAGGCATTACACCTTCGCGTCATTACTAATAGACGATCTATAAATAGGCGTACGTTAAAAATAGCAATGACGGACGATCCGGTTTCCCAATGCTTGTGCAACAGCGCGATATTTGATAGATACAGATCTATATAAAATGAGAACTAGTCTACCCCAAGTAGTCAGTGTATTATCAAGAATATCTTTCAAAAAAAAACAGAAAACGCTATTTACACTTATTCTCAGAAATAAAATATTTCATACGGTCCATTCCAACGTGATTTCATTGTTTTTGAATTATACTCTCAAGGAAGTACTTAAAATCACAACAAGATCTGCATCCTAGGTCTAGATCTATATCCAGTGAATCCTGAGAAATATGACGACTTTTGACATAGTTTCTGATAACGTCAAACCTTCGACGCTGGGAGTGAAAGATGCTTTACGACTGTGTACAGATACAACAGATATTGACGTCATTATCGATCTGACCAAACACAGCAATCCGCTGGTAAGTGGTTCTTAATTTTAATGGCTCTCTCAAAGCTAGCATTTTCAAATAATGGATCGTTATACTTACCTTAGACTACGGAAATGTGGATACAGATGAAAAGACAAACCACAATTACAATTTACGACAAAACTGGTTTGTAAATGTAAATTTTTCACACAAAAATCATTGCAGGTGAGACAGAAGGCCTTGCGTGAAATGTGTCCTTGCCGTGTCAAGAAAGACATCTCAGACTTTTGGACGCGGGTCTTTGAGATGCTATCGGACTCAGAAGAAAACGTTAGGTGAGGTTTCAATATCATTTCCGTCTTTTCACCGGGCTGTCTAGATGTAACATAACTATGGGTTGATTTTGGGAGGTTTATTGAGGCATGTCACTCCCACAATTTAAACCATAGATAGGCCCCTATAAACCCCTTCCCATCCCACCCACACAAAAAAAAAATAAAAGCAACTCCTTAAAGACTAGAGCATTATATTGTTGTTGCGCATTGCTCTTCACAAGCATAGGGGTCATCCATTTATGACGTCCACAAAAATTTTGGATTTTAAACCAATCAGTGGACCAGATTTGACATTCTAAATTGTTTAGCAAAGCTGAACTCCTCTGGTTTTAACAGGCTAAAAGTATACACCACCTGCACCCTACTATATCAATATAGCACAACACTACCAGACGTTATCACGCCTTCATTTATGAATGCTTGTACATTAGTGTTATAAAGTCATCAGTATAGGTTGTAGAAGATTTAATGGTGATGATGACTGCAGTAAGAAGTTAAATATTTGGTGAGCTAGACACATAAACAGTTGATCACTTGACTATTCAAAATGAACACCAACACAAACTCATCTCAGCAACTTTATATCGTGGATGGTTTATTCTAGACACTCTGTTATAGCTGTAAAAACTAAGCAGGTGAGAAACTTGGTCGTCCACAGCGACTAGTCTACCACATCTTCCAACACAAAACACGTCTACGTCCTCACAAGCCTAACATTCAAATCTCTTAATTAAATCTCTCGGCTTCATCCTCGCCCTAAGGTAACCCAACCACGACAATAGCGCGATTAGCGGGGTGTTTAATCTGTGCATACATTAAATCTAACCTGTACGACCAGGGCATTACGACCTGTAATAACCTGGAGCATTTATTCTTAACTATTTAAACACCTTTAGGTCATTCGTTTTACAGCAACTAAGACTTATTTAACCTACAATTACGCTATTCAATAATATGGACATACCTATAAAATTAAAAGTAAAACCGTATTTTATCCCGATTCTCTATCCTGTGCTAATCCCAGTTATAACAATTAGCACATTACCGCACGTTGATCCCCATAATTAACGCCACAGATTACCATACATTTAAAAGTAGGCCTATATCGTTTCCCAATGGCGTAGCGAGGGCGGGTGTTACCCGGTGCGGCACTTAATGGTGTCACCCCCCAGAGGCGTAGCGACCCTTCCCGGCTCCCGGGGACAAACTTTCAATTTTCAATTTGCACCCCCCCCCCTCAAACTTTCGATTTGCACCCCCCACTCCACCCTTGTCGGGATTTGTCAAATTTGCTTTTAAAAGACTTTTTAACACTTAATTAAGTTTTTTTTAAAAACTTAATTAAGTGGAATTATCACTATTCTCTTTATATTTTGCTATTTTTTGCCTTGGTGTCACCCCCCACCCCCTAAATGGTGTCACCCGTTGCGGTCGTTTGCTTATCTCTTATTTTATTTTATTTAAACGTGTAACATACAAGTATTCATCGTCATTTCCCTTGTGTGCCCAGGACACATGACGCCACATAACGCTCGGGCAACTTTCTTGGTAGTTTCCCAAGATAGTCCTGCTCTTGTCAGTCTTTCTACAATGCGCCTGTGCTTCTCCCTTGCCTTTCCCTGTTTTCATTTTACGGCGTCCAGTTAAGTGCCATATCATCGGATCTCATTAAAATGTGACCCATCCATCACCATCTGTTTCCTATTAGTTCTGAAATTGCTTCTATTTCCATTTCTCCTATTAATCTGTCATTGACGAAGAAACTAACAATTAAATAAAATTTCGAAGAAAGCGTGTGTGCAATGTTTAAATTTTTGATAGAACTAAAACTGAACACGCCTATTGTCCATGTCAGGTACCAGGTCCTACACACACTGTGTGACGGAAGTCCAGAACATCTAGAACACGAGATCTCTGAGGCGTTGGAAGTTTTTAACAGAGACCCGAGTCCTAAAATTCGAAGGCAAGCTCACAGGGCCCTTACTGCATACAGGCGGACAGGAAAGTGGAACATCCTGTAGTCTTTGTTTCGATAAAAATAATTGTAACAAATCTGAACACTATATTGAACTATAACATGAGATCTGAGTCCAAGAATGAATAATAAAAAAAATGTGTTGCTTGTTTTTTGTAGATCAATTAAAAACAATTAAAATTTTACAGTATTTTTTTTAAATATTAACAATAACAAGAAAGCTAGTATATATAAAGGAACTTGCTGAATTTTAGTAGATAGTAGTGTAAGCCTACACATAAAGCTGGACTAACACATAGCAGTCAATCCATTGGTATTATCAATATCATTAAAGTAGTGGCTCCTAAATTACTGCAATTCTAAGCTTGTAACATCGTTTAAAGAATAACCAGGTATGTGTTATAAATAAACCGGGAGTGATCTCCCCTAAACTTTCTCGAATATTCTTATATAAAACAACAGAGGATGGGAACTCGGGATATAGTTATGACTAGCTGCATCCCGTGCTCCGCCACGGTAAATCTTTTTTAAATGTACCAACTTGGGAACAGAACAAAACTAAACACAACACAAACGAACGAACGAAAAAAAAACACAAAAGAAAAAACAAACACAACACTCATAACATAAACACAATTTAAATGAAATCATAAAGGCATATTGCTCACAGTCTAGCCCGTAGCGCCAAATCGCGCCCTTCCCGAGCGCCGCCGGACGCGTCTGACACAGTGAATGACTATAAAACAGAGGCGTAGCGACCCTTTCCGGCGCCCGGGGAAAAACTTTCAATTTGACCCTCCCTCAAACTTACGATTTGCACCCCCTCTCCTCAAAATTTCAATTTCCACCCCACCCCCTTAAACTTTCGATTTGCAACCCCCCCCCCCCCCCCCGTTCAGACTTTCGATTTGCACCACTTTTGATTTGAAAATCCCCCCCCTCCCCCTCAAACTTTCGATTTGCACCCTCCCTCCGCCGTCAAACTTCCGATTTCCACCCCCCCCCCCCGCACATTTTTTTAACCCACCTTGGCGCCCCCTTAGGTCGGCAACCGGGGACATATGTTCCCCCCCCCCCCCTCTCTACGCCTCTCCTATAAAACCCCCAGCAGTATTTAAAATATCCGTGTTTTACCTACCATATTATATCACTTTATCAATTCACGCATTTTTTTCCCAGTACTTTAAATTTTAAAAATGTACAATAGAGTTTCATAACTAAAACCATTTCGCACCAAATGAACGTGATGACGCGTCTATAATAGTGCTTAATAGTTGATTAAAAATTATAAGTAGTAAACATTACATTCAGTGAATAAAATAAATAAAAAATAGCCTTTTATCAATCAATGCTAATTATAATATTCCAACAATAATGTACTCTTACACGTCTGCATAATTTGCATTCACATTTTGCTAATTATATTATTCCAACAATTATTCCTTCTTGCAGATTCTGCATTCACATTTTTAGCGTGAGTTCAATTTATTTTTAAAATACCTCCCTTGGCAAAATTACTAAACAGTTTAATTAGTTTTTTCTAACCTACAGTTATTATGTTATAAAAATGTATCCACTTTTTTTAGGAATATTAACGAAAACGATATTTGACATTGATCCTTTTGATATGTTTTAGCAATGTGCGTGTATTTAATATTCTCTTTACGTTATGCAAAATTGTACAAACAGTGGAACTTATAAAATAGCTCTATGTCGTTATATAAACAGACCCTACTCTATTACTTATAATAAGACAATGCGATGCACTGCAAAGCACTAAATGGTGCGATGTTTACTTTTATGGTTCCAAAATCTATAGCGATGACGGACGGACGGAAGGAAGGAAGGAAGGACAGACACAGCCCGCTTATATTATAGACTAGCTGCATCCCGTGCTCCGCCACGGTAAAGCTTTTTTAATTGTACCAACTTGGGAACAGGACAAAACTAAACACAACACAAACGAACGCAAAAAAAAACACAAACGAAAAAACAAACACAACACTCATAACATAAACACAATTTAAATGCAATCATAAAGGCATATTGCTCACAGTCTAGCCCGTAGCGCCAAATCGCGCCCTTTCCGGTGATTTGCACCCCTTTCAAACTTTCGATTTGCACCCCTGTCCCCCCCCCCCCCCGCCCTTAAACTTTCGATTTCCACCACCCACCCCCCTCGCAAATTTTTTCCAACCTACTTTGGCGCCCCCTAAGGTTGGCACCCGGGGACATATGCCCCCCCCCCCCTCGCTACGCCTCTCCTATAAAACCCCTAGCTTGTCCGCAAACCGAAAGATAGAATAATAATTAGTAAACAGTATAAATAATAGGCAGTATTTAAAATATCCGTCTTTTACCTACAATATTTCACTTTATCCATTCACGCATTTTTTCCCAGTACTTTAAATTTTAAAAATTTACAATAGAGTTTCATAACTAAAACCATTGCGCACCGAATGAACGTGATGACGCGTCTATAATAGTGCTTAATAGTTGATTAAAAATTATAAGTAGTAAACATTACATTCAGTGAATAAAAAAAATAAAAAATAGCCTTTTATCAATCAATGCTAATTATAATATTCCAACAATAATGTACTTTTACACGTCTGCATAATTTGCATTCACATTTTGCTAATTATATTATTCCAACAATTATTCCGTCTTGCAGATTTTGCATTCACATTTTTAGCGTGAGTTCAATTTATTTTTAAAATACCTCCCTTGGCAAAATTACCAAACAGTTTAATTAGATTTTTCTAACCTACAGCTATTATGTTATTAAAATGTATCCACTTTCTCTAGGAATATTAACGAAAACGATATTTGACATTGATCCTTTTAATATGTTTTAGCAATGTGCATGTATTTAATATTCTCTTTACGTTATGCAAAATTGTACAAACAGTGGAAATTATAAAATAGCTCTATGTCGTTATATAAACAAACCCTACTCTAATTCTTATAATAAGACACTGCGGTGCACTGAAAAGCACAGCATGGAGCGTAGTTTACTTTTATAGTCCCAAAATCTATAGCGATGACGGACAGACACAGCCCGCTTATATTATAGACTAGCTGCATCCCGTGCTCCGCCACGGTAAATCTTTTTTAAATCTACCAACTTGGGAACAGAACAAAACTAAACACAACACAAACGAACGCAAAAAAAAAACAACGAAAAAACAAACACAACACTCATAACATAAACACAATTTAAATGCAATCATAAAGGCATTTTGCTCACAGTCTAGCCCGTAGCGCCAAAATCGCGCCCTTTCCGGTGATTTGCACCCCCCTCAAACTTTCGATTTGCACCCCTTCCCCCCCCCCCCCCCCGCCCTAAAACTTTCGATTTCCACCACCCCCCCTCGCAAATTTTTTCCAATGCACTTTGGCGCCCCCTAAGGTCGGCACCCGGGGACATATGCCCCCCCCCCCCCTCGCTACGCCTCTCCTATAAAACCCGAAAGATAGAATAATAATTAGAAAACAGTATAAATAATAGGCAGTATTTAAAATATCCGTGTTTTACCTACAATATTTCACTTTATCCATTCACGCATTTTTTTTCCAGTACTTTAAATTTAAAAAATTTACAATTGAGTTTCATAACTAAAACCATTGCGCACCTAATGAACGTGATGACGCGCCTATAATAGTGCTGAATAGTTGATTAAAAATTATAAGTAATAAACAGTAGGGCCTACATTCAGTGAATAAAATAAATAAAAGATTGCCTTTTATCAATCCATGCTAATTATAATTTTCTAACAATAATTTCCTCTTACACATCCGAATAATTTGCATTCACATTTTGCTGATTATATTATTGCAACACTAATTCCTTCTATGACGAACGTATATTTGCATTCACATTTTTTATTAGCGTGAGTTTAATGTATTTTTAAATTACCTCCTTTGTCAAAATTAGAAAAGAGTTAAATTAATTTGATTTTTCTACCCTACTGTTATTATGTTATTAAAATGTATCCACTTTTTCTAGGAGCCTAAACGAAAATGATATTTAACATTAATCTTTTTAATACGTTTTAGCAGTTTGCGTGTATTTAATATTTTCTTGACGTTATGCGAAAGAGTAAAAACCGTGGCAATTATAAAATAGCTCTATGCCGCTATATAAACAAACCCTACTCTAATACTTATAATAAGACACTGCGGTGCACTGAAAAAAACAGCATGGTGCGAATGTTTACTTTTATAGTCCCAAAATCTATAGCGATGACGGAAGGAAGGACTGACACACTACCAGCAGCGTTATATTATAGACTAGCTGTATCCCGTGCTCCGCCACGGTAAATCATTTTTAAATATACCAACTTTGGAACAGAACAAAACTAAACACAACACAAACGAACAAACGCAACAAAAAAACAACGAAAAAACGAACACAACACTCATAACATAAACACAATTTAAATGCAATCATAAAGGCATATTGCTCACAGTCTAGCCCGTAGCGCCAAATCGCGCCCTTTCCGAGTCCCGGCGGACGCGTCTGACACAGTGAATGACTACAAAACAGAGGCGTTGCGACCCTTTCCGGCGCCCGGGGACAAACTTTCGATTTGACCCTCCCTCAAACTTACGATTTGCAACCCCTCCCCTCAAAATTTCAATTTCCACCCATCCCCTCAGACTTTCGATTTGCACCACTTTTGATTTGAAATTCCCCCCGCTCAAACTTTTGATTTGCACCCCCTCAAACTTTCGATTTGCAACCTACCCCCCTCCCCCTCCCTAAAACTTTCGATTTCCACCCCCCCCCCCCTAGCTACGCCTCTCTTATAAAACCCCAGCTTGTCCGCAAACCGAAAGATAGAATAATAATAAATAATATACAATAAAAAATAGGCAATATCTATAATATCCGTGTTTACCTACTATATATCACTTTATCAATTCACGCATTTTTTTCCCAGTATTTTAATTTTAAAAATTTACAATTGAGTTTCATAACTAAAACCATTGCGCACCCAATGTCTATAATGGTGCGGAATAGTTGATTAAAAATTATAATTAGTAAACAGTACATTCAGTGAATAAAAAGAAATAAAAGATAGCCTTTTATCAATCAATGTGCTAATAATAATATTCCAACAATAATGTACTCTTACACGTCAGCATAATTTGCATTCACATTTTGCTAATTATATTATTCCAACAATTATTCCGTCTTGCAGATTTTGCATTCACATTTTTAGCGTGAGTTCAATTTATCTTTGAATTACCTCCATTGGCAAAATTACTAAGCAGTTTAATTAGATTTTTCTACCCTACTGTTATTATGTTAA